TTTATTTACTTTTTGAACTTATTTTAATTAGTGTTTTGGGCTTAACTTTCTATTATTAGTGAATTTTTATTAATTGGGTTTCATTGGGCCAATAATTTATATTTTAATTAATTTGAATCTATTTGATCTAACTTTTTCTCATTATTAATTTTAGGAGAGTTTAAAGCAATTTTTGGCGTAGAAGATTGGGTCAGATGTTATATTACAGTTTAAAAATCAATTTTCGGCTAGGAAAATTGGGTCAAATATCATATTTTATTTTATACGAGTACTAACATTGGTTCACTATTTTATTTATCATTTTAACATTGGTTCGTTGTTTTATTTATAGTTTTTTCTACAGATCTCCAAAAATCATGATTCTGAAAGAATTATAAACTAGACACATTCAGCTTTCCATAGGATCCAAAATCATTCAATTCGAAGCTAAATTGGATTTTACATAAATGATCCAAAACAGGTCAAGTGCACTAGGCTGACCCAATGAACATGCTTCAGTAATTTAAGTCTCCTAAATTCACTAGACCTCTGAAAATAGTAGAAATGGTGGCATTTTAAAGCTAACTCAAAAGGCTTTCAAAGGAGACTAAAATCGCTTAATTTGGATAATTATTGAAAATAATGCACGTGTTTTAAGTTCACTGACCTGCACTGAAGCCAACTTATGATGTGTTTCATGGACCAGTTGAGCCCAAACCTCGATTAAGATTAGGGTTAGGGTTATTTATATAAGAGAGGCACATCAGACAATGATAGTCGTTCTGCAAGCGTACGGAGTATCGCGTAATAAAAAGTTATCGTTCCCATAGAGATTATGCCCAAGTACCGGTACACAGTGATTCAATTATCTAAACAAATCGTTTCAAATAGAATATATTGCAAAATGAATAGAAAACCAAAAACTATTGACAAGAGACTCAAGGTGAAAACTTTCTTAGGAGTCGATAGGTTTATATGTTACGTATTCAATTTAAATCAATTTGTTTCCCATTATTTAACTTCTATTTCTAAGGTGAATTTTCTTTAATTGATTAATGTATTCCTCTCGAAACCCCACTAACGTACCTAATTACCGAAAAATAACGTTCAATTCGTTAAGTAGATCCTTTACGCTTTATGAAAATCCAATTACCCCTCAAAGAGTTTTGTCTACTTTCGTAACTCAAATCCCTAGGTTCAATTCCATGCTTTTCGAATGATATATCGATCTCTCAATCATCCACATCATTTAAATTCATCTAACCTTATCTCTAAGCCATTAGAAGCTTTAGGTTCTCATGGAAATGAATAGAAAATAGAAATTCAAAAACAGAGAAATTCAAAGTATTCAAAATTGATACATAAACATATTCCCCCTAATCCCAAGAATGAAATTTAGTGTGCCATAGAAATGATGATTACAATCCACAATACAATAAATCAAACTCTAACATAAGAGAAAAGTAGAAATGAGACAGGAAGTTAGAGAATAGAAGAGAAGTTTTCACTATCTCTTCTGTAGCTTCTTCAATTTCACTCTTGATAGAAGAAATTGTTCTCCCTCTTTTGCTCTGGTTTTCTTCAATTTTCTTTTTGGGAAAAACGCCTCTCGTCTTCATGTCCCTCTTTGTGCTTCGTAACTTCTTTTTTATATCTTTTATGCTCAAAAACTGCTCCTCTAATTCAGGGAAAATACAAAACGTGCAGAATCCACTGGCAGTGGGAAAAACCCATGGCCAGTGGATCGTGACAGGGGCCCAATACTCATTTTTCAGTGAAGTCCACGGCCAGTGGGAAAAACCCACGGCCAGTGGATCGTGACAGGGGCCCAATACTCATTTTCCAGTGAAGTCCACGACCAGTGGGAAAAACCCATGGCCAATGGATTTGTTTTATGCCACAGTGCCATTTTCTAGTGAAGTCCACTGCCAGTGGGAAAAACCCATGGCCAGTTGATTTGTTTTACGCCACAGTGCCATTTTCCAATGAAGTCCACTGCCAGTGGGAAAAATCCACTGCCAGTGGATTTCACTTAACTTCACCCAAAATGCTCTTTAATAATGTTTTAAGACCCTGAAGTGTTCTTTTCTCTTTTCTTTTACAATGCAATCCAAGGTTTTATTTTTGTGCTTTTAGTGGCTTGAATTCCTTTCCATCCAATGCTTCATCAAATGCTTCTCGTTTCCAAGTTTATAAATCTATAACAAAGTTATTCCTGCAAAACTGAGACACTCGAATAACATGTGTGGAATGAAGGAAAATAATTTGAATTAAGGGGAATTCTAACACAAATAAACTAGAAAACTCAAATAAAACGCCATTAAAAATGATGCAAACTAGACACTTATCAGACAACACACAACACACAAGGACTGCGCAGCCACCACACAACCGTCTTTCATCTTCTGCAATTTATATTTAAGTTTGTTTACTCTTCTGTCATTATTTTAAATTCTTGTTTCGATTTAGCTTATGTTTCTTCTACTGCGTTTTCAACTTTTCATGGATAGATAAATCTTTGTATTGATTTTCTGAGAAGAATGCAAGTAGATTTTTGAGGTTTTGCTCTTCAATTTCATTTTGTTTGTTCTCTTAACTTCTCATCTTCTAATCTCAGTGTTGTTGAATTATAATTTGTTTATGCTTAATAAACCGAAACTAATATCACAGTTTGCTTAATTATGTGTTAGATATGAGATTATGTGATGTATGCAATGCTTAATTGTATAAGGATAATTTGGGATTAATCTTCGCTTAGTTGGTTAATTTCATGTTGGAATAAGGGTTAAGGAAAATTTGGGATTAATCTTCGCTTAGTTGGTTAATTTCATATTGGAACAAAGGTTAAAACTAATTTGAGATTAATCTTTGCTTAGTTGATTAATTTTGGATTAGAATATAATTTGGGATTTATCTTCGCTTAGTTGGTTAATTTCGAATTAATTTCGTAATCTAAGATAAGTGACACTGCATTAGAATCAGGAAATCAATTGCATTTTAATTTATTTTTAATTCGCATTTTTATAATCTGTTTTTGTTCTGTTTCATCTAATATTTTAATTTTGAAAAACCCTCCTTTTTGTTATTGTTCTAATTTGAAAATTTGATAAGTTTTGATAGAAATTTGTGATCTTTGGGAGACGACTTAGGAAAGCTTCCTAGTACTACATTTATCTGTTTTAATTATTTGACCGAGTACGACATCGTTCAAATTTGCTCTAGGAACATCCTTTTCAGATCATCCCAACTCAAACATAGGTATTGAAGTCTATACTGACTCAGATTGGGTTGGATGTCCCTTTGATAGGAAATCAACTACAGGCTATTGTTCCTTTGTGTGGGGAAACTTGGTGACTTAGAAAAGTAAGAAGCAACCTGTGGTGGCAAGAAGTAGTGCAGAAGTTGAATTCAAAGCTATAGCTCAAGGTATCTATGAAGGAATCTGGCTTAAGAGGATATTAGATGAAATCAAAATTTCTATCAATTATACTATGAGGATAATGTGTTACAATAAATCTGTAATAAGCATAACAAAGAACCTAGTCCACTATGATAAGATAAAACATGTGAAAATTGATTGACACTTCATTAAAAAAAATGATCATAGTATTATAAGTGTTGATCATGTTTCATCATGCAAACAAACAACAAATATTCTAATAAAGACTCTTCCAAGGAATACATATAAAAATATTAGATTCAATCTGGGTATGATAGACATCTACCACCCAGATTGAGGGGGAGTGTTGGAGATTAGCACTATCAATTAGAATAATTCAATTAGGATAGAATTTAATGATAATATAATCAATTTTATTTCGTTACTTATGCACAGTTATATACAGCATTTATAGGAAGAATGTTTTCCTGATTTGTAGGGATAAATTAATGCATAGGTTCATTACTTTGTATTTTATTTATACCTCATTTGTATCTTTTCCAAAGTAAAAAATACACAACGTATTTTTTATTTTAAAAAAATATTTTATTGTCTCATTATTCTTGCATATAAATATTAATTTCACTACTAAAAGTTAGTTATTTTCTCTAATTTTTTTTAGAAAAAATTATTTAAATTTGTAAAAAAAATATTTTTACATTTTTTATAACAAATTTGCAAGAAAATTCTCATAAAATATGAGAATTTCTAGGACATTTAAATATTAAAAAAATTAACACACTTAAGAACAATTAAAAACTACGTAAAAAAAATTCCCCTCTAAATTAGATAACAACACGTAGAATTGTTCTAAAATTGTTTAGATAGTAAAAAAAAAATCATCTTCCTTTTTATAATAACAAGATTATATAAATAAAACATTTAATTTATTTACATAAAATATTATATACCTACATATCTAGAAGATAAAGTTATTTGTCCTTTACATTGTTACACCATAGATTATGTAAATTATTGTTACCTATTTGAGAACAACAGTAGCTCTTGTGAGATGTAAGAAAGTATCATATATTTTCTTGTAACAGAGGGGCTGCATTCAAGGGATGACTTGTATCTCACTTAGCTCTACTAGTCCATGTTATTTGTCAAAGTTGATATGATTTTCATATCCTTCAAGTTTTTTTTTTCCAATATTTGAAAGTAATAATTACAATGTACCTTTATCTATAAAGATCTTGTCCCTACGGTACAAAACATAATGGTTAAGGATTATTTTACTTGTTTCTATCGAAGGTACCTTATAGTATAAAGAAAAATAAGATGAATATAAATAAAATAAATTAAACTAATGAAATCTTCAACTTCTTTATTGGTGCTTACAAAAGAAACACGGTAAGGTAATTGATCTTTAAGAGATCTTAGCAATAGGTTAATCATTGAGAAATTCTCAGCTAATATAAACTAGTTGTTACATTAGTTATTGTCGTCTCTCAAAAACAAACACATATGAACATTTTCTTTAAAGTTGGTTTCAAATTATTTGAATGGTGAGTATGTTGCACAATTAGACACTTTGTTCAATATACTTTCTCTGAGTAAGAATATGTGAAGCACTAAATATTTAGTTTTGGGACGAAGAATAAGGTTGTGAGAGAGACATAGTTTCAAGGGTACCACACAACTTTGTTAGTGAAGACCCCAAAGAGGACCTTAACTGTTGTGCTTGCAAGGTTTCTATATTCAACTTTGATGTTGGAACAAGCAATAAGGATTTGCTTTGACCACTACTGATGGTGCCAAGGTATACACAATCCCTGAAGGTGGCATCCTATCATTTGGACTAGAGCACCAATCAACATTAAAGAGTGGGACAAGGAAGAATCAATTTTGTAGAAAAATAAGATTAGAAAGTAACTTATGATACATGGAACAAATGAGATACTAAAGTATCTTGATAAAAATTACCCAGATAGAAATAAATAAATAGATGTGAAATTGATAAAATATTGATACAGAAGTAATTAGAAAAATAATTACCCAGATAATAAATAAATATTGATAAAAATTAGATGTGAAACATATTTTAAATATGCAAATCTCAATATCACGAACAAGTTGTCAAGATTGTAGAGAAAAACCTAGAAGAGGAATACTTATTTTTAATAACATGCTTTACAATCAACATGTTATAAGTTATTGTATAAATCACAAAATTTACGATTGAAATTTTTTTAAAGAAGTCAATAAATCTATTATTTCTAAAATAAGATTTAGGAATGAAAAACAATTTATTTTAAAAGGAATAAGAACAATTATAATTAAAACTAATTTAAGTATTAAATTAATTTTTAATGTTTTATATATTTCTGATTAATTAAAATTTATTAAGTGTTATTTAATTATTAAAGAAATATTTTAAGATATTTTTTAAACATAAAATTTTGTGTGATTAAAAATATAAATAGCTTATATATGAAAAATGAAAAATTTATTTTGATGAAAGAAGAGTTTATTATAAATAAAAAATTAAAATAAAAAGAAAAAGAATGATCACACGTAATTTTTGAAAAAACTTGATATCAAAGAAAAATAATAAAAGTATAAATAAAAAATCACATTTCAACATCCATTCAATGTTATAATCACTCAGACCACCCGAAACAAAGAATATGTAATTGATAAATAAATAAACACACTAAGGAATAATATTAAATCGAATGAAAATGTGATTTAAATGAATGACAAAAATTATAAGAAAAAATAAACATAAAACAAGAAAATTAAATTTAAAATTTGAACTTTGAACTTTGAAATTCAAATAAAAATATTAAAATAAAAAGAAATATATGTTGTATTATCTTTCATTTAAATAAAATATTAAAAGATTTTTATTATATTTTAATTTTTATAATTAGAGAAAAAGTTAAATATAATAAATTAATATTAATTTAAGAAATTAAGATTGAAATATTATTAATATTTAATATTATATATTATTTTTACTATACATAGAAAATATATGAATGAAATATATTGAAGCTTTTTCATATAATATAGCCCTTATATTTCTAAAATACATTTTTAAAACTAAAAAACCCCATATAAACATGCTTGTTTTTTAATTGTTGAACCTTTGAGTTAGGGGTGAGAAAATAATCTGAGGAAAGAAAGAGTTTTGGTTAGATTCAGATAGTTTACACGGGTATCGTTGGGTAAGTTTGATTTTAATCTTTTTTATTTCATTAGAACCTGAACCCTTCCGAACATAACATATGTGAGTGAGAGGTTGAGTCTAAATTGTAGTAACAAGAATGATCCTATGTTTCTGATGACAAGTCATTTTTTTTCGTTAGTTAACTTTTTCATTTCAATGAACCATTTTCTTTTAAGGTTTTCTTCTCAAACCTTCTTTTACTTTCTTTGCATATCCCATGTTTCAATTAATTTTTCTATTCTCGATTTCCTTTTCTTTGGTCTTTGGTTTTAGCAGTAGATGAAAATATCATTATTGTTCATTTGTGTTTGAAGACAAAAAGAAGAAGAAAAATAAACAAAATTAAATGCAACTATGCTACGAAACTCACATGTTTAATCCATCAATTATTTAGTATCAATTAACTTTTTCAAACTCAGGTCACACTTCTAAAAGTAAAGTGGGGTTAACTCACTTGACTAGATAAATATATCTTAGAATTAAACCCCATATATGTATATACTTCCAATAAATGCATGACACAATGAATAAAATTTAGTTAAATTTTATTACATAAACTTGTTATGTTAGTGTTATTGTAGACTAGTTTCAAATTTAAATAATATGAATAAGAAAGTAATTGAAAAGCGATTGTAAAAAGTACGTCCTGACGAAAAGAAATAGATTTTTGCACCTAAAAATATTAAACCGGAACAAAGGCGTGACAACAACTGAAATTTTTCCTTCCATTTCAAGAAATCCTAACAACGATGGAGAACCCTAACAACTATTCTTCAAGAAATCATACTTAATTTAAATGACTTTATCAAACAGAACTTTGGCAATGTGGAAGTTGATGGTCCTTGAATCACAGAAAGCTGCATAGTAAAAACTCTTGGCCACAGTGAGGAAAGTATTCTTGATATTGAAATCAATGGCAGAGGGAGATTTCTGGAACACCAACTGCACCAGCTCTTGCATTTTCGAATCAGCTTCTGGGGTGATCATGCCGTCCAATTCCTGATAGATTTTATTAAAAGACAAAATTTGTAATGTTACAAACAAATCCTGAATTCTAATTTTTGCATAGATGTATAAGAAATCATTTTAAAAAATACACCACAAAGGGTACCAAACCTGAATATCTTGCATAGTGCAGCACTACATTACACGACAAAGTCTTGTGTTGGATGCTATTGAAATAACAATTTCAATTATGCAACACATAAATGGTCTATGCATTCTGTTCACAGGGCCTCAATTATGACTATTTTGAGAAAACTAAATGGCGTGCAGTGGAGTGCAGTGCTCAATTGGCCATTGAGGTGATCCTTTTTTCTTTTCTTTAAAGTTGCTGAGTTCACTTTCCTAGTAACTATAATCCAAACTATGCAGCTTTTTAGGTACACTAGAAGATTGAATGCAATACTATTAGACTACTAGCATTCCATTTTTTATGCTTAAGGAAAAGTGGAGAAGGTAAAAAAAAGCATTAAGAGCATGAAGCCAAAAGATGAAGGTTTGGAAAGTTGGTAGCATTTGTGGTAGGATATGAAATAATGGTTGCCCTGTCACTGACCTTGTCCTTTTGATGAGAATAGAGTGTATGGCAGAGTGAGTTAGTGAGTTGCAGGAGAGTCTCATATTGAGGATCGAACATTTGATCCTCCGAAATCCAATGCCCGCCACAGAGGTTTATTATCTGCACCAAAAGCTCTCCTTGTCCTTCCCATTTGTCCCCTTCGCTGTGCCAACTTGAAAGCCACTTTTCCCACTATAATAACATCACAAAAAAGAAAAATCAAAATGTTTAAGGCATCAGATCCAGTACTGTTATTTGGTGGTCGTAATGGTCAAATTATGTTTGATTCTCCATTTTTGTTTCCAATTCCAATGTCCAAGCCATGATTCCTTTTCATTGGCTACAAATCATTATATTTGTGAGAAATGTCAAAGATGACTGAGCCTCAACTGAAATCTGGTGCAGTGCAGATTAACTATTTACCTTTTACTTTTTAAAACCAGACAACATTGTTACAATGTTAACATCACAATCTTTAAATTTGCTTATTTCTTAATCACTTTGTTATGTGATTGGGAACTGCCATGCTGGGTCCACTAAAAAAGTTTAGACCCCTACTTTCTTCATACAGACAACACAAGATTTCATTTTACATAAAAGTAAGAAAAAAATATTTTTTATATTTTTTGTTAAATTTAATTTTATTTATTAATTTTTAAAAAATTGATAAATTTTATCTTTCATCTCTAAATAGTATTTAATATTTTTTTAAAATTTATATTTAATATTTAGTGACACAAAATTGGAGAAAAGACATGTATTTTATATAACTCTAAATTCATTCGTTAACAAAAACAAAAACAAGTTTGACTGAAAATGTAAAAAAAAAAAAACACATTTTTCCTTAACATTTCTAAGAGTGTGAGAGGGTAATGTATAGCCCTACATTCATTAAACTGTATTAAAATGTTTTACCAAATATAAAGGACCAATACTAAATCATCACAATTCATAGAAATCAAAAGAGAAATTGTGATCAGTATTAACACTGGTAATATAATTACTTAAAAAGGAACAGTGGACTCACACTGCGATGCATATCATATCCAATTTCATGACCATGAGAGACAAGGGTATCCCACGATATTTGATCTATGGTGGCAACCAAAGTCTCAACCAGTCCATGTCCTGTTCTGTTCCTGTTCAACCTCCTGCATTCAAGCGCATAAAATAATTACGTTATGAATTTGGTGCATGCAGCTCATACCTCAGATTAAATTTTCATATAGGCTGAAACGGATAGTCTAGTTAAAAATTGGTTTTAGAATAAAAGTTAAAAAGAATATAACTCTACTCTGGGTGGCCTAAGCATTCTGGTGTCTACAAAATAATTGGGGAACAGAAAGAAAGAAAAGTGTTTGTCACACCGGACAGGACTTTGGTTAAAAGCTTCCCACTTGATCATATCTTGTCCATATCAAATAGGCCAACATAGTAAGCCTGTGATGGTCCTAGATGTCTTGTTCCCTCATACGAATGAAGGATTGATCCAAACTCCTGAATTCAACATTTCACTCAAAATCTCTAAGAACTTGAGTTCTGATCCAACTTAATCTTAAAATATATGCATATGATTCAATAATTAGATGGCAGTGAATGACACAATATGTTCATCATAATATACTCAAATCATATATAAATTCTTAAAATTAAAGTTTGGGTTTGATGAAGTAAGACACTATTTTAATGTATGATTTCAATCAAAACATCATATAACTTGTTCATATCAATGTCAAGCTTAAATATGTCATTCTAACTATACAAGTGTTCACTTGGAGTATATATTTGATAGGTATTCTTAACTTCATGTTTTTTTTACTATATCAGCACCTGATTATCCCTCTCTTTAACTTGAAGTACTCAAGCCTTTGTATAAATAAGGCTCAACAAGATCATATATGTATACAAATAGGTCAAAAGAGGACATGGTAATGGTAGATACAGCTCTAAATGTAAGTAAACTACACGGAACCATGAACAATGATTGTATAAAAAAAGGAGTTATATGTAGCTTTGAGACTTAATTAAAAAATGAGATGTTTCAATATTTATACAAACCAGAAGGATGTAATTTACCAGCCAATGGAGTGGTCTTGCATGCTAATGCAGTCACTGAATTTTTTAACGAAAGCTTCTCTCGTTTCTGCATCACTAACATAGGATGTTATTGTCTCAAGTAAAACTGTGGTTTTGGCCCAAGCTAGCCTTGCATGAGACTTTTCAGGCTCAAATATGCTTGCTGCTGCTAGAAAATAAGCCAACAGAAGTGTTCTTCTGTTCATTCCAAACTCTCCCAATCTAGATTCTGAGTACCACCTGATGCAAATATGATGCAATAATAATAATATTGTCAGTTGTATTATATTTAAGTATTATATTGGAATGGTTTTAGTTGCTCTTACTTCTGCATTCTCCCCCACTCCATTAGATGCAGTGCCTGACAATTGTTGTAATCTAATTTAGCAAGCTCCAGATAATGGTTGTTGTTCACATAAGGCATCCTGTAGAAGAAAAAATAGTTCAATTGAGGGAACATTTTACTTAAAACACTTATATAATAAATTCAAATTATATTTTAAGTTTGACCATAAAATGTTATATGTAAGTTTTAATAATTAAACACTTAGTTAATAAAATTTAATTGCTTAATTTATTGAAACTTTAAACTTGTTTTTATAAGCTATTACAGAAGTATTTCATGAAAAAAAATTTAAAGTTATAATATCCTAAACTTAAGTTACACAAAAAAAAATAAAAATAATTCTAATGTTCAAAAAGTTAAAATAGTAAAAAAAAATACAAGTTAACACTGTGAAAGATGAAAATTAATGATCCTTAGTACCATAAACCTAGCTTCTTCTTTATTTTTATGTTTTAATTTATTTATGCTGGTACATTGTTATGGGAGATTTCTTTAGTCAAATATTATTTTTCTAAACAATAATAAGAGTATTCTAAATTTTATAATAAATAAATAAAGCATAATAATTTAAAAAAAATATTTATTTATTTATAATCTTTGTCCATCAATATTATCATACATATAAATAAAAAATACTTATTATAGGATAATGGAAATAGAATAAAAGTTTGATGTGAAGTATCTGAAAATATAATGCATTAATATTTTAACTATAAATTTACAATTTTTATACTTTAGAGAAGTGAATGAATTTGAAGATGCATGGAAAAAGGTTTGTTTGCATTGCATTTTGAGTTTTTATTATTACTATTATTATTATTATTATTATCATCATATCTATTACGAGGGCGTCGCTGTCACGGCTTATATGCTAAACTGACAAGTGATAAATGATAAATAATTTAATAGGATTTCTTTTTCGATATGTAAAATGTTTTTGATACATGACACAAGATCAACACTAACTATCTTAATTTTTTAAAATACTCTTGACTGTGGAACGCGTTTAACATTCTTATAATTTATTTGAATTTGAGAATAATTTGTTGAGTTTTTTTTATACTCAACATACCTATTTTTCATACTATTATCCAAAACAAAAATATCATAAATATAAGTTTATGCTGAAAATGTATAATTATTAACTGATTTAGAAATTGTAGACATGATCTAAAAATTTTGGATAAAAAAATGTGTATTAAAATATTGACAGAATAGAACCGAATTGGAATATAGCGTGGTGGGTGTTGTTTGTGTTTGGAAAAAGTAAGGGAAGAAATTTTTATAAAGAGATGAAAGAATGAACGAAAGTGCAAAGTACCTATAAAGGGTCTTGCCTATCCACACGTCATTCTCACCACCATATTGATCAATGTAGAATCTTGTCTCCACTCGCGGCAAACTTGCATACCATGGCACGTCCAATGCATATGCCACCTAACCACATCAAATTCTTAACATTATTATTAGTATCTAACACTACAACTTATTATTCATTAATTTTTCTATCATCTGTTTTACCTCTTCTGGCAAGTTTTTCATTATGATCCATTTATCAACCAACTCATTTGCCTCTCTCTTCTCACTCAAAAATTTTCCAGCAAATTTCTTCCCATCTTCTAGAATATTCTCTCCGGGAAACATTACTTGACTTGCCCTTAACAAATTATACATTCCTGTCACAGCTTGCGTTGATTGTCCCGTAAAACAGAAGAATTCACCTTTTCTCTCAAAGTGCTTAAACACATCTGTCGAATATCAAAACCATTTAATTAACTAACGTGTCTCTGCTTCAGAATAAACATTCTCAAAAAATAATTCACATTTTTAATCATTATTTTAAGTTACAATGTACTTTTACAATAATCATGATTTATTTACTCACCAGCTGAAACTTCGTGGCCATGCAATCTTAACAGTCTGAAACCCATTGCTGTGTCATCAATGTCTTGAACATTTGAATTTCTTGCCCAACAAATGCCCTTCTCAGTCCAATATCTGATATTTCATTTTTAAATTCAAATTACTTAGCATGACAGACCTCTATTTCGGAAAAAGCTTTATAAATATTAATTTGAGGGTGATTATTATAATACCTGGAAACATAACTCAAACAGTCTTTGATCTCTTGCTGAAAATACCGAGATATTCCTAGGCGTTCCAGCCTATCAACCACCCAAATATGTTCGAACAAATCCACTGGGTACACATTTGGAACTGGTACATGTGATGGGCATGAAGATTAAATTAGAACTCGCTTGGAGAAAAACAATCATAAATCAGAGAATAAAGAAGATGGGAATCATACTGTACAAAATACATTATGGTCACAGGACAAATCTGTCATGAAACTGAAGAAAATTGTAGATAAATACAACCAAAAATGCTGTCATAATTGTAAGTGTCTTGGGACTTGTGGTCCAAAAATTTGGATGTTTGTTAAAACTATACAATAATGAATGAGAGGAAGGATGCTGAGGAGTGAAAGAAAAAAACCTTGAGAAGAAGAGGTAAGTAATGTTATAGTTATGTGGAAAGAAAGATGGCAATTTACCTCCCCCATTGAACCTCTTGACAATTTGATTCAAGTAATTGTGGCAATTTTGATCTTTGGTTTGCATGAGAGCATAGGCGGTGGAGGACGGAGAAAACAAGAAGGAACCGTCTTGAGACTGCAGTTTCAGAAGCAATTTCCAGTCCAGGTCTGACATCCCTTCCAAGCTATGAAGCAGACTTGTGGGTACTTTATGCATCATCTCTCTTGGTATTCTATCCCCACACCAAGGTCCACACAATAATGACACACACATTAAAGGGAGTTTTTTCACATTACTGATAATAAATAAAAAAAGTTATGACTCATGTGTATTATATATGTATACTTTCCCAGAAAAAGAGTTGCAAGATAAGGTTGCTTTGAATCTATTATCAAAATAGACATGGGCACATAATAGCTCGCTGGCAAGCATAATCATGATACCTTGTGAGTTTTACGTTTCTCATTGCAAAGATTTTGTTCAGGATAGGGGAATTTTCCGGCACTTCGATGTCCAACCCACGAGCAATGTCAAGAAGGGATGGGAAAGCTACTTCAAATCCAATTGGCATATGCTCCGCATTCTCATTCTCAAGCTCATGAAGATTCTCCTTGAAAAATGTCATTCCTGTGTAACATTCACAAAACTCATTACTAATTGTTGTGTTCATTAAATCAGAGTGCAGAAGTTATAATTCAAAATTACATTACTACCTTTCTCACACTTTTCAGGGTGCATGTTCCATGATTTTAATGCAATAACACAAGCCAATGTGTTAATGATCCGATCATGGGCCGAAAACAATTCCTTATCACCCCATGATCCATCGGGAAGTTGATTATTTGCTATCCATTCTAGACTTGATGGAAATTGAGGGGTTCCATTTCCATGAACATCTTCTATCAGAGCAACCCAAGCAGTGTCGTAAGCAGACACAGTTATCTCTCCATCTTCCATTGAACCCAATATTGATCTGATAGTGTCCACTCGCTTCTTGATCTCTTTTGCCACCAAAATCTTCTTTCAACAATGTTGTATTAGCAAAAGAGAGATGACATATGTAAAAAGAATAATAAAAAAATGTCATTAAGAAAAAGGCACAAAACAGGGGATAAAGTTAAAGCACCTCATTGTCTTGCTTCTCTTCTATGTCATCTTCCACATTAATCTCACGCAACTTTAATATCGCTAGACTACCCTGAAATACGTCTGAATATTCTGCATAAGGCACAACATAACATTGGTTAAACCACTCTTTACAGAAAGTAATCAATATTAAACTAATTAAGAAACTCTATTATACCTTGTGTCTGTGGTTTGGATATGGCTCTGCATCTCGTCTCTCGTTTGTCGTTAGTCTCAGAGGACACAGAACCTACATAAAAAATGAGACTAATATTTCACTAGAATACTTGGAATTAAGTGCTATGTTACTCAGCTTGCAGTGAAAAACTACTCCACTCTTGCTTTTGTTTCATTTTTATAATTTTGATCTTTTGGGCGGAGGAGCAGAAACAAGAGACAACGCATCCAGCAACTTTAGCCCGCATGATTGTGAAATCTTGAGCTGAAAGTTACAGAATCGAGACCTCTATGTTCTTAACGAAACTGATTAAAAATATTAAGCTCCTAATCAACACAAGATGAAGCCATGCAGATAAAGCCACAAGACAGTATCACCAGTGAAAGAAAATAATATTGTAATAATTCTTTGATGAAGTTTATGCACCATTTGGTTTCTACAGTTTTCCAAAAGATAAGTTAAAACAATTGTGCTTTCACATTCTTAGGTAATAGACCATCTTCTTCTGATCACCAGAAACATACAACTGTATTACAATCTTAAAACAAAAAGAAAAACGAAGACAAGGTTGAGAGATTAACAAAAACATCATTGTGATGATACAAGGTGAATCAACAAAAGAAGTTGGTGATTGAGCACCGGGTATAACAGATGAATTGGAGAAATCATTGCATACATACGACCTTACCAAGAGATGATTTGGCGAAGTGGTGAAGAGGAATAGAATAAGAAGAAGATGATGGAAGAGGGAAATGGTTGTAAGAGAAAGAGGGAAGGTGGCAAGTGGTGGAGAAGGAAGAAGCCATGGTGTGTTTGAGTTGATTCAAAATGTTTCTGTTTGGCTTTGGAGAGAAAGGCAGAGTTTAAAAAGCAAAGGAGAGGCAAGCAGACAAATGGATTCCCAAGAGATTCCCGCTAATGGTTGCATGGCATCATCTAAAACTAAACAATTAAGGGTACTCCTATCCTTTTCCTACAATCAATTTCTTTCTCTCTCTCTTTTTCTCCATTCTTTTTAGATTAGCATGAAAATTAGTAAAAAAAATTGGTTAACTAAAATTTCATTTCACATCACATTAATTTTTTTTATATCGTCCATATATATATATTTTATTGCATTCCTTTACGAGAAAGAGACTATTAATCTATTTTCTCTTACATCATTTGTTACATTCCATACTTCTCTTTCTAAGTTGTATAATTTATTAGAGGACACTCTAAAACACTCATTATAATTATGAATATACAAGCTAATTAAAATTTTAACGGGAGGTATTTTTTCATAAATATATTTATGACAATGATAGTGAAAGAGAGGTTTCTTCACCTCCTATTATATATAATTCTTTTAAATATTTGAAGGAAGAGTTTTACCACCTATAGTGAAAGATATATGTTACCTTTAAAGAATGCTATACTTTATATATAACAACATCTTTGGAACATTTTATTATTATTTTAATTTCATTAAAAAAGTTGTTTATACTTCTTTAATTCATTTTACTTTATGATTGTGTAGTTTTAATAAACTTTAATCTAATAATAAAATAGGTTTAGAATGAATAATGTAGTAAAAAAATTGTTGATAACACTCCTTTGACAGAAGAAAACATATTCAAAACATTTTGTGTTTATATACAAATCTTATTATTATTTTCTGAACCGTTCATCCTTTTTGACCAATTAATTATGACGTGGCTTTGACATAGATCTGAAATCAAATGATGCTATTTTTTAATTTAATCCTAAAAAATCATTAAAAAAATATTTATATTCATGTTGGTCTTGGATATGTTTTTCTAGGAGACGACACAAGGCTGATGATTGAAGAGGAACCAAAAAAAATTTGCACAATTTTTTAACGTGAGAATATTTTTAAATTATTAACTTTTATGAAAATATATATTTCAACTTCATGTTCTTTAACTTCTTTGAAAAAACTGTTTCAAGTTTAAAATTTCAAGCTATCCGAACATTAGAAATAACACAAATTCAATTTCACTCAAATTTTTAATCTCCTATTCACAAAGATGTATTATATTTATATGTATTAGTAAAGAATATATTGTATGATGAAAAAAGCTTTATAATAGAATATACATTCTATACTAGAGTTTAGAATTATATTATATATTCTTAATATTTGTAGTTTTTTTTATGTGTGTATGTATATAAAATTATTTAATTATATATAAATTCTAATTACATTAAAATGATGAATATTTTCTTTTAAACCTTGAGTTAAATTTAAATTATATTGTGATTTATTTTTTTAATAATAATATTGATGCAATAAGTATGTGAAATTAATAATAGAAAAAAACTTATAATATATACGTGGTATTAAAATTATTATTATTATTTGATATACAATAATTCTCAATAAAATTATGAAAAAATAATTCATTAAGAAGTAATGTAAAATCTGCAAAATAGTTTTTTCCAATTAATAGTCAAAGAGGGAGAAGGAATGCCTTTATTAGTGTTGAAATTTAGGAAGTACAAAGGTTTCCAAGATGATGTGGAGAATACCAAACAAAAGCTTACTACAGTGTTCAAGGGAAGAGTTGTAATTACACAGATTATTTCAAAATGCAAGGAACTTAATTAATCAGAAGTTAATGAAAAAAAAATTATTTTTTTTAACACGTCACCATAACATTTTAAGAAAACGCAAAAAATAAAGAGTCCATCTCAGGATTACTAAAGGGGAAAAGAAAAACTGCTTTCTGCATTGATCCTAGCCAAGAAATGAGAAATGCTAAAACTGAAATTGATGAGAGTGATATGTAACCAAGTATGATGGGTATATTTACTTTTGAAGGAAATAACATGTGTGGAAGTTTTCTTACTCTGCCACCTGCATATGCATTATTATGCCACAAAAGTTAATTATTAATCAGAGTTGGACAAGTTGGATGAAGCATGAACAAAAAATAGTTTTGTTGTTTAGATGAGAGGAGCATCAAATCTGTGGCTCGGTTAAAGATTCGAGGTTAGAAAGCAGCACTAGAAGCCGGAATGTTCATTGTCGCCTCTGAATATCATCACTTCACCAGCATCACAATCTTGTTGGTTTATATGCTGTCCTTACTTCTTCAATAAAATAGCCTTAGTGTTCATGGATATTCGTATCATAGAGTTCATAAATTGAAACTTTTGTTTAATGCCTAATACTCCTCCCTTCATTCTCCAACTTCTCATATCACTTTTTCCTTACTTCTAACCAACACATATGTCACTCTAACTTTATCAATTTTAATAATCAATTTCAGGGACCCTCACATTTTAATTTAAATCATCTGATCATAAACATATATTCATGTCCAAGGGGAAGACGTTTGAAGCAATCTCATAAATTTCATTCTACCTGAATTTTATATCTAGGTCATTACATAACTCATATGATTCAATGTAACATAGTGAAATCATTATTGGATGTTAGATCTAGTTTTAAATTTTCAAATCCAATCAATATTTTCCCAACAACATAAAGACAACATCTAGGTCACATTCACATAGGCATATAATTTTCTCAAAGATTTTTTCGGATATGATTTACAAATTATTAAATTAAGTAATCATTTTATTAAAATAACAACTAATACTGTTTTGGACATAGAGTAAAAACAGGTCAGAAAATATATTATACTATAAATATACAATAATTTCAAAGTATGTGTTATCCATACACATAATCATTTATATATATATATATATATATATATATATATATATATATATATATATCTCACCTTTTTTTATGTATTTAAAATCCTTTTTCATACTTTAATTCTTTATACAGTTTGTATAGATAAATCCAACCATGTAAAAACCTTTATTAGTATTTGAATATATTTTGAATTGAATGTAGCTACACTTTTTTTGTTTATTTATGACATTATCTCAATTATCATGCCCTGAAATAAGTTATTCATTATCATAAGTTTGTATAGAGTGTTCACAATATATCTAATACAACATAGTCAATATATGTCATAATATAATGAAATTAAAATACTAGGTGTCCAAATTTTGAACAAATTGACATTAGATTAAATTTTAAACTTTTTTTTCCTAAAAAAGAGAGTGGTATGATGAGGAAACGCTCCCATTAAAATCTATTACAGAAGTTTGAATGGTTTATATGACTAATTTTAAACATGAAATTAAAATTTAAAGTAACTATATATAAAGTATAATTCAGTGAAATTTTATTAAGTTTATATGAATTGAAATGAAATCAAAGTTTATAAATAGTACTTTTTATAAATGAGATGAAATTACTTAAGAATTAGTTAAAACAAATAAAAAATTAAAATGTAAAGCTAAATTCAATAAAGTTAAGTGTGTCTTTATTTTCAAAATAATTTTGATCCTAAAGTAAAGTTACCTAAAATATGAACTCGCTAGCCTTTGTGCAGTCCCATCAAGAAAAGGTTAAACAGCAGGTTCTTGATTAGTGATCAACGTTTTACAAAGTCACATGACCCAGCAGTGTCCATTATTTTTCATGCATTCATCTTAATAATTAAGTGAATTATGTTTTATGAATCCAACATTTTCATTGATTAAAGGGTAATAAACATGATTAGAAATTACCTTCACAAACTCAACAAAATGCATAAACCTAAGGGACTTTTGGTGCAGGAAGAAAGACAAGGAGGTGCCGACAAGGTCCAACAGCCAAAAAACAGAGAAAAACACTTTGGAAGAACCAAAACAACCCAAGCTTGTGGTTATTGTCAAAACTTTTCTGAGGAACACACATGGTTCCCTCTTGTCGGCGTAGAACTTCTTCATGGTTATCAATAAATTTGGGCTTTCGTTAGGTGTTAAATCCAATCACGTGAGAGTGCCATGGTCCCATTCTGTAATCGAAGTTCAAACTATAATGTCAAACTCAATTATAATATCTACCTAAGATTTTGTTTGATTTTATCTTGAAAGGTAATGCAAGAGAGTAATTATTACTATACATTTTATAAATTGTGCATGAAATGAGTGCATGCATATAACTCTATATTAAAGTCGAAACATTGAACAAGACAAGTTGAAAGGAAAAAAAATCAAAGTATATTCTCCCTCCACCTTTTGATATTTATTCAATGAAAAGACAGTCCAATCTGATTTTAATAATGCTTTGAACATGAAAAGTTGATGCTTTTGTCAATGCTCAAGTCTTATCTTGATTGTCTTCATTAACCATGGCAATTGCTTTTGTATTCAGAGAAGAATTTTAGGTTCTTCTATTGACCTTAAATATGTTCGACCAAGAGTGTGTTTATATTAAAATAAAAATATCCGTGTTAAAGAATACTTAGTTTTAAACGTGTTGATCAAACTTTTTATGAGATCATTACGGTGAACAGCACATGTCTAAAATAAGATGCATATAATAACAACTATGTTTCAATTAATTAGTTTTATGAAGATCACGGGTTGTGGTTCTGTTTTGGAATAAATAAATTTGTTTTACATGTGAAACTTGTCATGTTTTTCCATCACCTTAGCTTGAATCCATAGACATTTAGACAGATATCTTGCATGCATGATGCATTAATGTAATCAATTGATAGGTCAAGATGAGATAAGGATTTGAGCATATCAATTGCATGCATTCATATAATACCAACCAACAATAAAACAAAAACCTTCGCACCAGACTCAGATCTGTTTATTGTCAGAACCGATCATATTTTATGTTATGGGTAGGATCAGAATAAAACATTTCTTTATTGAAATATAAGATATTGATAGCTAATTTCTACTAGCAAGAAAAATTAGTTAACTTAATTCATATTATTCAAAAATTCAAATAGAATATTTTTAAACTATCTTTAATAGTTGATGTGCATGGACATAGTAATTAAATTTAATTTTCAAACAAAAATCTTAAACCAATTTTCATAACAAAAAGAAAGAGATAATATTTTATTTATTAACTAAAATAATTAAAATTATTTTTGGTAAAACAATAATTAACGTCGAGAGATTAGAAAAATTAAAACAGTATTTATAATAGAGGACACAAAGAAACAGCATATAAGTGTTAAACTCATATAAAATATTTATTATTAGGTAATTTTTTTTTTCAAAACAATTTCAAGCACATACAGTAAAAATATATGAACCATAAACAAATTAAATATCTTCTTTTACAAATTTTATTCCATTTTTTTACAGTGATATATTTATATTCTGCATTCAAAATAGATAACATAAAAAGTCTCACAACTACTAAAAATAAATAAATAACAGAAGAAAAATTATATATGATAATAATATCTGTTAGAGTATTTTAAAATTAAAGACATTAATCTCTTATACAATGTTCATAATTTTGTATTATTAAAATTTTTAATATAATCATCTTTCATTTCATATCATTATAATCAAATCAATATAAAAAGTTATTAAGTTCATTACAATTATTTATATTCTTTAAATCAATATAACAATGATTGTATGAAAAAAAATATACTCAAATATTTTGTTTTAAAAAAAATTATACAACTATTTAGAAAAATAAAAATTTATTTATTTTATAAACATATATATTTAAAATTTCAAATATTATTTTTATTAAAGATTTAAAACTTAAAATTTGATGACAGTCAAACCTTTGGACGTAGATGTGCCTCCTTCACTCACTCGACCTATCATTAAACCGTGGTTAGTGTGAAAGAGTGTGATTGGTTATTTCTTAAAAGTTGAGTCATAAATAAACGTGCTCCCCTATAAAAATGATTTATTTTCAGTAACTTTTCTACATGTAGATTATTTCAGAGAAAACTTCAAACGGTAAAATCATACTACTAGTCTATTTCGCATGCATTACCAAAGATTTTATGGAAAATGCAGGACCATGCAATCTCCGAGAAACCTGTTTCTGAACATGGTTTTAAAAGAAATTTTTGGGAAGTTTCACCTAATCTAGTCTACCTTCATTTTTAGAATGTTTCCAATGTATTTATTGGACTCTGTAACCTGTACGATTTGATGGATAAATACAACAATACTTTTCAAGTTTTATAAAATAGAGTCTTGAAATAAGTCTTATTTAGATAATTTACAAAGAAAAATGGTAAAAAATCTTATATTATCTTATTCTATTTTTTAAATACATCTTTTATATATAGATTTAATATAAAAATTTGAATCATCTATAGTAAATTTCTCTACTAAGTTGGGATTACATTGGAAAATAAACCTGGTCCTTAGTATACGAAAGCTCTGTGACGTGAAACCAGCCACCAATCCGATGAACATGAAATTAATGCATTCAGAAATTTGATTCATTGTACTAGAAACGAGGTTGTAAATGACAAGTCCAACGATTCATTGTTCAACCTTTTAACGATGAGTCAATTCCACCGTCAAAATCTAGTAAATCCAATTGGATATTATGCCGGTGAAGATTGAAGATCATTGGTGTATGAGTGCATGCCATTGGAATCGCGACGACCCCTTACTCGATAAGATTCTTGTTGCTTGTGCCATTTCTACTGAAATTTGAAGTTTCGATGTTGAGCATTGAGAAAAGAAGAATTGAAAAGTTAATAGTGAGGTTGAAAAAAACGTCTTCAATATGCTACCACTATTAAATGTCTGTTTGAGAAAACAGAACATAGAACAAGTGAAAGGGACTGCTATACTTATTAATTGCACACCAACTTGTAACACTGCTATGATATTATTATTATTCTTTTAATTCAAACCCTTGTCAATATTTTGTTCAACTTTGTGCGTATCTTTATCCATCACATACAACCTTTCTACTTAAATTATTTGGTTCGCTCCATCAAAATGGAAGTAGCATTAATGCTGCAAAAATTAAAAAATTTGTATTACTTAATTTATTTGGTTTGTTTGTCCAATCGTATGAAAACTTAAATTATGTGTGTTTTATATTTGTTTATTAACTTATTAAGAGTATAATACACATCATCATCTAGTCTAATATAGTTTGAATACTTAAATTACTTGGTATATTATTAATTAAAGTTAAAATTTTAATATGATATTAAAAGAACTATTTTTTTATTAGGGAGTGATATGTTGAAAGTCTCCCGTTACCTACCGTATGTTATATAATATAGTTTAAAAATCGATTACACTACCCTACATTAGAAATATGATTTAAATACATGTATATATTTATCTTTCAAAATAGAAAATCATATATTTTTTTATAATATTTTTATCGAAAGATTCTCGTTAACTTTTAAAAATTTAATTAAAAAAATCTGTATTAGTTCTATTAAATAATTTAATAGATAAAAAATTAAAAATTTTAGTCAAAGTAACATATTACCTTTTAATTTCTGAAAATTTTATATAGATATTACCTGTAATATTTTACTAATTAAACATGATTTAATCATTTTTAACTTTTGAATATAAAATAATTATATTTTAAATCGAAAAAAAGAAGAAGTTAAAGTAAGTTATTCTTTTTTTACAATAAGATAAATTTATCAATCAATGCATTTCTAGGTCTATATTTCATTTTTAAATGATTTTAGTTATCAAATATAAAATGAAATTTTTATAAATATATACTATATTTGTTACATTATAAATAAATATATATATATATATATATATATATATATATATTTTTTATGTCAAAGGTTTACCACTGTGTTTAGAAAATAAATGACAAGACATAAAATTCTAAATGAATTTTCTTTTTCAGATTAAATAAGAATGGATGATAAAATAAAATAAAAATACAAGGATAGTGGAGTCCAGTGATTGATCCACAAGACTAAATAAAACCAAAGATTTGTATTCATCTAAATAAAATTACACTGTGCTAGCCCAGTTTAGGATGGACTCAAGCCGTGGAGTAGACTTCGGTTGGAAAATTAGCCCACCGCAAGCAAATCTTATGATCCAAACTTTGAATTGGCCCGTGAATCTTTCTTTTATAATTCTCTAGTGTATTTTTGTTAAAAATTAATTATCATGTAAGTATATAAATCATTCACTTAATATAAAATTAATTATTTTTAATACTAATTAAAATTTTAATGAAATAATTAATAATATATACAAATTAAATAAAATATTTTAATTGTAGTAAACACAAATACTTATCACAATTATCATAAAAAAATTGTATTCTTTAATATTTTATATAAATAAGAAAATCAAATGATACATTTTTCAATTTAAAAATAATAAAATTTATATTAAAATGTGTTAATCAAAAGATACCTAAACTTCAGATTCCATTGTTTAATAGCCAAATTACATAAGGTGTGAGGGACTAAAAAAAGTGGTTATTGGGTAAATATATGAAATGTGAGAAGAAGCAGGAGATTGTCCCCTTCATTACGAATAACTAGAGAAACCATTGACACTAAAATTATATAGAAAAAGATTATGTATTTAATGAAATCTGGGGAGAAGAAATTGTCATTATGTTCAACTAGTATGATTAAGTTGATTTCTATATTTTTATATCCAATCATTTTTAAAAACTGTATTTAAGTAAGGTTGGAGAAATTTTATATTTTTTAGCGACTAAATGAACTTTAATTAAACATATATTTTTATATAAATAATTTTAAAAATGTATCTTTTTTTTATCATAATATCTAAGTAAAGTGAGTTTAAGAATTAAATGCAATTGTTTATTACATATAAAAAAATATATCTTATTATTTTAGTATTATTGTTATATGTTACAAAATATAAGTATAAAGTAAGATCTGTATTTAAAAAATAAAACATATTAATTTATATATAATAATTTTATGATATATATATATATATATATATATGTATATATTATTATTATTATGTAAAATCTCAAGTTTTTTTATTATTATTATTTATATTTATAGATAAAGTGACAAAATCACCCCTTAATGTTTATTTAAGCATAAATTAGGGATATAGATATATTTCACTTCATACTAAATAACTAACATTAATTTTTTTATTATTATGATATATCAGGTTTTATAATTATGTTTTTAATATATATATAATATCTATTCATAAAACATTTACTCTTATAAATGATGGGCAATAAGTTTGATATATAAAATGATGAACAATAAGTATGATATTTAGAAAGTTTAGTTTCAATTGTTAATTCAGGAAGGTTAATTTCATACGTTTGTAATCATTTTAAGAGGGAAAAAAAAAGTGGAAAATAAAAAACTATATGCAATTATTTTGACAAAAATCTTTTGGAGACAAAAAGGTATATCACACTTGCGAAACCACTCTAAAACAGAATAACTAGATAGGCACTCCATAAAATGATAATTTTATGTGAGTATCAATGACTCGTACCATAGACTTTTAAGAAATTTGTGTCTCTTTACGACCACTGTTAAAGATGGTTTTTGGAAACCTCATAAAAAATATAGTATGATAGATTATAATAAAGTAAATTAAAAAATATTATGATTTAAAGTCGAGTTGTAAGTTCAACACGTGCATTGATGATAATCAAATTAAACACTTCATAATTCTTACAAGATGATTTATGGAACCTATAAAGATAATTTGTGAGGTAATAATATTATATTACAATTTTAATCGTAATTTTTATATTAACTTTGTTCGCTTTTATTAAATTGTTTAAAATTTTATTCCAAAATTAGATTTATATATGTGTTTGCTCTTGTAATTGTTGAAGTGTGAGATCATGGATTGAAATTTAGATAGAAAGATTTTAAATTTTCATGATTAATAATTACATTACAAATGATACTTTAATTGAATATATTTTAAATAATTTTTACCTAAGTCATTTATTTTGGATGATTAACTTTTCACATGTGATGTTACGTACATATATTGAATTTAATAGAAAAAATAATTTATCCATAATTGTTATTGAAAAGGTTAGAAAAAGTGATAATTTTTTTATAATAACAAATAAGAGAAATTTATAGAGATATGTACACAATTAAATATTTTATTTAGTAGAAAATTAGTTTTGATTATAAAATCAGGTGTAATTCGATATTTTTTATGCATAAGAAGTTATAGAATACAAAAATATATTTAATCAATTATTAACAATAGATAGATATTGAGTTAGATTCGAGGTATAAAATTGATTTTTAGGATAATTTTTGTCTTAAAATAGATAAAGAGAAAACTAATTGTAAAATTAAAAAGGTAAAGATTACTTGTAAAAACTTAATAAAAAAAATATGAAATAAATATTAAAGAAAAAAATTAGTTCCTTTATATAAGACTCGAAAATATGAACGAAGAGTTTTATTAGATGAAAGTTTTTCAAAAGAAAAAATAAACCATTAGCACTTAATTAATTATTATTTAGTGGAACCAATGTTACTTGGTGCAGAATAAAAATTTGACATCTTCATTTACTGGAAAAGTAATATATTGAAATACCCAATTTTGCAAATGATGATAAGAGATTTTGTAGCATTTTCCTGTCTTAAAAGCTTGTTTTCGAGTTTTCAATCAATATTAGTGGTTGATTTCTTACTTCATGTCATATTAGATTATATATATCCAAACACTTTAGAGACATTAATTTGTATATAAACTATTATAAAAATAATTAAATTAACATTTTGAATTATATATTTATATTAATTATTATAATTAATTAAATATTTTTTTCTCAAGCTCTTCAAAATTAAAAAAGGACAAAATAAAGCTTAATACAATATTATAAGAGATAATTAATGACAAAGTTAATAATTTTTTTAATATTTATTTTCACTTTATTAATAATATCATTATCTCAATTATTTATTACTTTTATTTTGTTTAAATAATTAAGTGGTTACAAAGGAAGATATTGATAAGAAAATATCAATATTAGAGTGTGATGTTTTATTAAAATTGTTTGTGAGATTAATTTTATTTAGATGTTTGGATACATGTTTTAATTTTTATTTAAATGTATCTTTAAAATGTAATTTTATTTTAAGTTATATTTTTTAATTATATTTTTTTAAAATTAATATAAAGTATTAAAAAATTATAAATATTCTTTAATATTTTCGGATTTTAAATAAAAAAATGAGAATCCGATAAATATAAGACAAGTAACTAGTAAATTATTTCATATGTTACGAATTATTTAAAAATTTGTACATCTATTCTTAACACATAAAATAAATCTTTTAAGTAAGAATAATTTAAACAATATAATCATATTATGATATTTATTAAAATAATTCTTACAGTTTTTTTCTTAATCAAATAATTTATCTTATGATATTTCTAAATTTTAGAATAATACAAATCAATTACAGAACAATCCTTAACAATAATTTAATATTAATCTTAACCATTAATTCAAGTATAAATAATTAAAGTCTCAAACAAAAGAAATCATTAAGAGAAATTTCGTTGAGTGCTCAACCAATTAGAAGATTTCTACAAGATTTTGTCGTCTATCATAAAGTTTTCATATTCAATAAGTCATCTGTTCAAAATTTTGAAACAACTAATCATTTAGTCTAATTAAAATAGAATAAAATTAAGATTTTAGGATAAAATTACAAATGTTACATTTTAGGTTTAGAGTCAATTCCTCGTGTCTTAAACAAATTCAAAATCAACAAAAGAAGTAAAAAAAAAATTATAATAAAATATTATTTTTAAAGAAAATATATGAAAATTTGAAAATAATTTTTTTTTAAGTTAAAGATTAAATTGAAAATAAAATTTAATAAATTTATTATTTGTAATAAATACAATTAAAATTGTTTAAAATAAAAATATTTGTTTATATTAAAGGAAAATTATATTTAATAAATTAACATTTTAATTATTAAATTTAATAATTATGCTGTTTATAGTAAATATAATAATACTGTAAAAAAATACTGTTCAAATAAAAATATTTATTTCTGTAACTATAAAATAATCAATTAATAATATTAAACTCTGCATTAATATGTTACGTAGATAAAAACAAAACATGAACATACGAGCAATATGTGAAGCAGAGCATTTAATACTATAATTATGGGCGCGCGTGTAGTTATTATTTCCTTGCGGTGATGTCTTGTTTGTTTGTACTCTGAATCGGTGGAACCAAGGAAGCCAAGATGGCGTCCATGCGCTTCCCTTTCTCGTTTCCTCAGCCCCCTCAACCGCCTCAATTCCCTCGCGCCTTCACCACATTCGCTGCTGTTGCCGCCGTCGCCGGAGCCTCCGCTGCTGTCGTGGCTGTATCCTCCTCCGACCGCCCCTTTCTCCGGAATGCCCTCAATTCCTTATTCTCTTCTGGCCACTCGTTGCCTCTCTGGGGTTCTATCAGTTTGGCCGACAGTGGGGTTTCCGTGCTCGAGTCAAAGACTGGAGCTTCCTTCCCTTCGGTTCTAGCCTCTTCTCACAAACTATGCGGAATTGGGTTGCGGAAAAAAAGCGTCTTGGGATTGAAGAACATTGATGTATACGCTTTTGGTACGACATTTTATTTTCCTTCCACCACTAATTTAAATGCAAAAGTAACAATAAAAAATGATATTTCTTTTCCTAATTTAGGATAATTTTACTTTGGTCCTGTCAAATAACAGGTCAGATGGAAAAAATCCAGGTAGAATTTCTTTTAGATGCAGTAGAAGCATTTTATTTGTATCTCAATTTTACTAATTTGCTACGATTTTCATCTGGGTCGGGACAAAAGGAAAAGATGTTAGTTTGAAATGTATATGGAATAGTGATCAAGGGGGCAATCCACACTTTTATTGTATTAGGAAATTTGTGTCGTTTGTTGCAGGTGTTTATGCTGATGATGAGGACATAAAGACTCATCTTTCTGAGAAATATGGGCAGTTCTCTGCGTCTGAATTGCAGGGAAATAAGGAGTTTATTGATGATCTTATGGACAATGATATATCCATGACAGTTAGGCTTCAAATTGTGTATGGGAGATTGAGCATTCGTTCTGTGCGTAGTGCATTTGAAGAGTCTGTAGGAAGTAGGCTGCAGAAATTTGGGGGATCAGACAATAAAGAATTGCTTCAAAGGTGAATACTTCCTTCAAGTGCCTATCTCATTTTTGTATGTATGGAATTAGTCACTACATGTATGAGTGCTTGGATCCCATGTTCGAATCCTTTAACGTAGATAAAAAACGTGAAAAACCAGAAGCTTGTACATATAGCTTTGCACTTGAAGTATCAAACAGTGCGTTACTTCTGTTATGAATATTCTATTATGCAACAGGAATCTGTAGAACTTGTCCTGAAATTGCAGATTTATGTTTGCAAAATGTTTGTCGAAAAGGTAAATATGTGCATATCATTGTACACTTTAGGACTCTTTTAGTTGTCTTTTTAGCGTTGGGCAAGTTGACTTTTGGTGGGTATTAGATTTGAAGCTTTTTCTTTCCCTGTGCTTCTCTAGCTCTAGTGCACTTTTTGATAGTCCAAAGGAAATTTTAAAAGAGGACACCTAGTTTGATACAAAGGGAGAGTAAGGAAAATAAAGCAATTTACCATTATATCCATACAGTAGATAAATAAGACTGTTAAATTCAAATGTTCAAGTTAAGAATAATTTAGTCCGGATAACCTAAGTTTTAAGACTGTTTCTTCCCTCCAAAAATTGGAGGGAGGAGAAAAAATGAAATTAGAAAATTTGACCCTATCCCATCTCCTTCAAATATTTGGACCAAACAACCTGTGCTTAAGCCTTTTGCTCTTTTCAATGTCCATCCAACCAAACACTATGCAACTCAAAGATATCTCTAGCATGCTTTAAACTTAAAAAGTATTTGTAATTGTTTTTGATATATATTTGCTTTGATACACCATGGAAATTTTATTCCGAGTATCTGTTCATGAGATGTAACTTTTTCCATCTACATGGATGAGAATTTTCTGTTACACATTATAATTATACTTTACTGATATGCTGTCTGTGGTGTAGGTTCACTTCACAGTTTAGAGATGAAATCAAAATACCTCGTGGATCTGTAATTCATCTCTCAAGAGAGAAAGGCCATGTTCTTCGCACATCAAGTAAGTTATCTTTCTCTATGTCTGCATTTCTATCTCAAGTTTCAGAACTATAAATCAGTGCAAAATATTTTTTCTGCTTCATATGTGTTTTGTTCAAGGAAAAATCATGTCTTATAGTGATTCAAAAGATTCAGTTGAGAACTCATGAATATGTTTCTTCTCTCTACTTCTTTCTTCAATTTAGCACTGAGTCTAACTTATGGGGTGCCCCATTATACACCATATCAAATTGTCTACATGAAGCTTATGTATTAAACAAAAAGACATATATATACATGACGATATTTTATTGATACACTTTCCCCATCAAAGGAAATGGGTGGAATGAAATGACTACAACTCTTTTATGTTCTTCAATTTGGCGATGAGCAAGATTTTTGTTTCAAGGAATCAGGTAATGTTGAAACATGGATGAGGTGTTTTCTCATTTTATAATTTGAAATGAATCTTTTGAGAAATTAGCACTGGTGTCTGATAATAGTAACTGGGCTATCAGGGTTACTTAAATAGCTAGTATGAATAGCTCAAGTAAAGGTTTCATATTTATGTTCAAACTTTGAATTATATCTAGTATCTCATGCAATACACCTTGGTGGTGGTGAGGTTGTCATTCTTTGTGGACTATTTTTGAGCGTTTAGGTTTGAGGGACCTTTCAAAGTGGAGCTGGTACAACAGTGTGCTGTATAAATTTTCTTTAAACAATGCAAATCTATAGCACCTAGCATTAGGTGTTTTAGTCACTTGATGTTATTAATGCGAATGCTTAATACTTTGCTTACATTGCAACAAGAATTTTTTTACATTAATTCATCTTATTTCTTGTAGTTGATGGAGACGAAGTGGGAAGCATTAAGAGTAAACTCCTATGTAAGTCAATTCTAGATTTATATGTTGGTGAAGAAGCATTTGATAAAGACGCCAAAGAAGAAATTGAGCACAATGTGGCTTCTTACCTCTAGAGGTAGAATGTTAGACTTGGAATCATCTTTAAATCATGGATTTTGTACTCTTGTCAATTCCGTTTATGTATACCCTGAACTTCAAGATTGCAATATGGATTTAGTTTAAGTTTTTTACTATATATTGTCCCTAGTTAATAATATTCGTCAGCTTATAAGTTAATTATTTGAATAGGAAATTTATTTGGAAGATATTACTTCTAGAGATTCACATTAAAATTTAACTCTATCATGTTTAAATTGTTTGTTTATCATCTTTAACTAACGAGAAGCTATTTATTATTCTGCTAGATATTATCAATGCTCTTAGATCTCTCAAATAAAGAAAGTTCTATAGAACGCATATGATTGGTGGAAGCTCTTATAGCTGATTTTAAGTTAACAAGAAAAGCTAGAGTCTAGCATAGTCACTTGAAAGATCTATGCAAATTACTGGATCTTAAATTGTAAGATTCTGTGTTGATAAGTTTTATCTTACCTACTAGGTTTTTACGCAATTCTCATTAAATTATATAAAGAATTATGGTGCAAATACACATGAGGATAAGGCACATGTTCACATGGATAAAATAGGAAAAAGGATGAGTCATTGAGAATGACAACTCAGAACCAAATCTTCACCCAAAATCATCTATTAATTATCCTCCTCTCACCTTAACAAACTGAACGGATTGCAGGCTGAAGATGATATGTAGAATTACTTAGTTTGCATTCTTTGCCTTTTTTCTTCTGCTATATATACAAACATCTAGTTGGTAGTGGTCCTACAGATCCATCGCAAGATCTTCTAACCCTTATTATGTTCATGAAGGGGTGGACCTTCATCTGTTGCGGTCATTCCTGTGCTGAATGGCTTAAACTGCCATCTGCGGGCTCCTTCCATGAGACGTGCCTTGGGTGCTAAAATCAAGTTTGTTGTTGGCAGTATACCAATTCCTGACTGATTTGATCCAAGTTATAAGGCTCGGAGCTGTTGCAACATGATCATCCATTCATGGATAGTAAACTTGAATCCATTGGTCGGAGCATAGTGGTTTTCGAAATAGTGATCAATGTACGAGCGATTTAAAAGAGATTCTCCCAAGGAGATCTTATTATAATCTCTTAGCTCCAACAAGAGATTTATGGCCTAAGACAAGGTTCCTTTTTGTCACTGAATTCTACCAAGTTAGAGATATTTTGGAAAGAAATTGAAACATATATAACTATTTCATGCTGTGCTTGTCCTACTAGATGTGTCTGTGCTGCAATGAGGAATGCTAGATATTTCCATACTCTTAATTATGCTATAAGATTTTATCTGGTACAAATGAGATTTTTGCAATAGTTAAATCTCATATTCTACTGATGGATCCACTTCCGAGCATAATTTGAATCTCACATTTATTGAATGTTATAGAAGATTGATTGGGAAGTTCCTTTAATTGGACACCACTAGATCTTATATCATGTTTCCTACTCAACAACCCAGTTGTTACACCCCTTCAATGTCTTGAAAAAGGTTCAGGCCAAGACTTATTCTTCCCAAGGAAGTGGGAAACCTAACTCTTACCTCACCTTCCTTAATTTTCAAGTACAGCTTATATATTTGTTAAGTCATTTTGTACTGTTAAGTGGTATTAAATTGAAATTCTAATAGTATTAGAGTCTTTAGTTCTTCTAGTTTCGCATATTATAGTATGAATCTTATTGAGGAGGGATGTTGAAGAGTCTCATCATCGGTCTCAATTTTAAGAATGCGACTTATTTGTTAAGTCATTAACCGGGTATTAAGATGAAATCTATCTGACACTTTAAAGCCAAATACAGGATACTTTCTGCTCTACATCACCTGTTCAAGAACATCAATGGTCGTGATAATCAAAATACTTTCATATTTTTTGTCAACCCAATCTTTTATTAGAGGACTAAGTATTTGGAAATACATTATTACTTTATTCGAAACAAGATTCAAGATGGTGTACTCCGTCAATCTCGTCCAAAAAGCAACTAGCTTATGCCTTCATATGTGGTTTTCTTTGCGGAAATCTTAACCATCTTATAAGACTTCTCTAACTGAATTTAGTCTTAGTTTGATTTACTCTTTTTTAGGATGTATTTACTAAATCTTAATATTGATTTATGATTACTATTTTGACATTTGATATCTCAGAGTTGAGAATTACAATTTTTTTATTATCATGAGTAAATACATTAACTTAAATAGGAAATATTAAAAATAAGGTTTTGACATAAAATAAAAAATAAAAAAATAACTTACTGATCTATTTCGGGTTGCTAAATAAAAATAAGATTTTAAATCTATTTTTAAATTTGGTGAATGTTCAATTTTGGCTCTTATAAAACTTTAATTGAAAACTTACATTTAGTGGTAAACATTTTGATTTATTATCAATAAATTATTCAATTACAAATAAAAAATATTAATATATTCGTCAAAATAACATATGTTAAAGTTATTTGTCAAACCTATTATTGATATTTTATGTAAATAACAACTTGACATTTGTTATCAATTAAAAACATGTATATTTCATGCAAGAATAACATATTAACAATTGATCGAAATGGCTTAACTTTATATGGATTAAAATTGTACATTTATCAATTTAAAAGTTTAAATCTAAAATATATAATCTATTTTTTTTATTAAAAACAATTTATTTACTATTTATACTCCCCAACTTGCTAAATTGATGCTCTTTTTTTTTTATATATATATAAAATTATTGTATCAACCCCAATTTGTTTTTTCCTTTCTTTTTGTTGCTCATATAATCTTCTTTTTTTCACTCTTCTCCCTGTTCAATCAATTCACTCCCGAGACGTACACTTTTTTTTTTTTTGAAAAATTAAACAGTATTTACAAAATTCCAGAAATTGAAAAATATTTTGAGACTTTATTAAAAGATATTTCTTGAACTCTCTCAAAAACTATTTTGTAGAATGATGAAAACAATAAAATATGGTTGAATCATACATAGACATACAAAATCAATAATTTGATAAAATTAAACTAAATGCAACCTAGAGGGAATCACTTGTAACCTTGTGGATATTTTTCTTTATGCACATGAAAAACAACACAAAATGTAACATGATTAAAGTCAAAGGGGCCCATTAGAACATCCATTTTAGGTTACAAGCCCAACTATTTAACATGACAATTTTTTAACAAGTAAATTGAATATATGTTCAAATCCATGTCATTTCTAATTGTCTTTCTATTTTTCTTCTTATTTTATTTATTTATATTTTAATTAAAAATTTATATTTCAAATAATGAAGTATAACATTATGTACTAAAATCACATGTATAAATTGTCTCTCCACTGTGGTTCAACAGAATTGAATTTCAATGAATTTTAATGGATAAATATTTTATTTTTGCAAAACTCTTTTGGTCCTCAAACAAAAATTTACCAATTTTAATGCTTATATTTTTATTAACATATTTATATTCTTGTTGTCAAGTATTATAATTAAGTGATAAAGACAAAATTTGTTGATAGTCACGTAAATTGTCATATCCTCACTCTGACATAATATTTTTTAAAAACTATGTTTCTAATTTATCATATTTTCATAAAATTTACTTTTAATATGTCCAAAAAAATTTATCAGTCCTAATTTTTAATTCATTCACAAAATTTAAGTCTAGTCCTTCAAAATATTTTAAAGGTTCTCACTTTTTCAAATATTAGTTCATGATTGTTTTTAATAATTTTTTTAAAATCATTATTGTAGTTGTTTTGTTTATTACATTTATTTTTTAATATTTGAACTATATTTCTAGCAACATTGCATAAATTTGTACAGGCTTAAAACTACCAAAACCTGTAATATGTTTACAGGATAAAAAATGTTAACGCAAGGAAAAAAACAGGAGTGAAAACATTTTTTAAAAATTGTTTAGGAATTAAAAATATATTTTATAAAATATTTAAGATCCAAAAACATGTTTAATTTTAATTTTAATTATTCTTTGCTTTATAATTACTATACACCAATAATTCAAATAAATTATCTTTATGTTTATATACATGTGGTGATTTTAAACGGATATAAATTAATAAATTTTATCTGTTAGTTACATATAAATCCATTAGGTAGAGATGTGATAATCAAACCAATTTAAGAATTCTCATTGATGTTGATATCTTAAATCTATAATAATAATAATAATAATAATAATAATAATAATAATAAATCAAGAGTTGTGATACATTTCTTTGAATTTAAAATAGTAATTTATAATAAACTATTGATTATATTAATGACTAATATAATCGATTTCTTCTTAATGAATTTGAACTGCATATGATTAATTGAATGAAGAAATGATTTTCTCACCGCTTTTTTTAATGTGTTAACTCATTATTAGAGTTTTACATCGCTAAACAGTCTACATTCTCTACATTTATCTCATAGTTAAAATATGAAAATATTATTTTATTAGTTTTTTAAAGTGGAAAAAATTGCTTCATACTATTAGGATATTAACAAGCATTATAGATAACACTTTAATTAATAAAATAAATTGACTGATTTATTACTAACTTAATATTCAATTTACAAGAACTTTCAAACAAATATTTTATTTAATGATTAAATTAGAAATTTGTTGTCATAAAACAAATAATATTTTTTTTAAGTGAGATATTATTATATTCTTTTCTATCACCAAGAATGTAAATAATATAAATACATTAAAAAAACATTGTTATAATAGTAATTTGTTCATATTGATTTCAAATGCTATTTAAAATGGCAACAACAAAAATCAACTACAACAAACAACTAGACTTTATCAAGTTGCTTAGAAAGTTGGACATGACACATTGGCGTTTCGGGCATGGAATCTTATGAATAATGATATCCATCAAACATTTTTAAGCCATATTGGTTGAACTTGTTACTGCTAGCGTTATTGTACAGATGTTGCGTCAAAATCAAATAGGAAAATTCAGCACCTGATGAATTTTTTGACGCTGGATTCTTTTTCCCTTTTATTTTATTGCATTCTGAGCTATAGAAACCAGATGATTGTCGTTTTACTACACTTAACATTATGAACAATGACACTTTCTATATACATATTTACTGATTTACATCACTTTTTCAAAGAGAACTTTCTCAATATGGGAGTTTATGGTCTCTGGGTCACAATATGCTCCATAGTAGAAGCCCTTGGCCACTGTGAGAAATGAGTTCTTCACATTGGTGTGCAACCCATCTGAGGAATTTTGGAGCACCAACTGCACAAGTTCTTGCATGTCTGATTCTATTTGAGATGTAGGCATGCTGATTGTTCTCTTGTTGCTGCCACCATCATGTGCCTGACAAAGATTATAGAAACAGAAAAATTTAGGGTCTGGAAAACTTAATCTAAGCATGATATTAGAAGTGCAAGTACACATCTTATTCAAATATATAGAAAAATGATTCGTAATTTTTGTTACTGACTTTGCTGCTTTGATAAGTACGGAGTCCATGACAGATTCTGTTTGTGACCTGGAGCAATCTCTGATATTGTGGATTGTGCTGTAGTTCTTCTGACCAATTGCCAGACATTATATTTATGATTTGCAAAATCAGTTCAGCTTCTCTTTCAAAGCTGTTCCCTTCATTCTGCCAACTTGACAGCCAGCCCTGCCACTGATCATGTTTTAAAAGCATCTTAAAGTTTTAGCAAGAAATTTTACACAATTTTTTATTTTCTGTATAGTCCATTTTATTAATAATGATGTTAAATTTTGTTTAAACTTATGAGGATTCGTTAAAACAATGAAAACAAAATTATTTTCACATAGTTTGCATAATGAAACTTTTTGAATGTTTGTCAGAAGTGCATAGAAATGTATTCCACTCACTGCTTGATTCAAATAATGGGAAAATTCACGATCATGACTCCGAAACATTTCGATCCCAAGGTAATCAAGGTTTGTCAGCAAAATCTCCAGGAGTTCTTCCTCTCTATTGTTCTTGTTCCACTGCCTGCAACACACATTCAACACAGGTTTTGTTACATCACCACCATTATTATTATTTCACCATATGCACAAAGTTTTCTGCAACATAAGGAACTCGAAATTAATAAAAAAACATAGTAAATAAGCATGCAGAATAATTGTGTGATAGGAGAAAAAATGAATGACACAAGTTTAGTTAATTACTTGCTGGAGAAGTTTCGTCCTTTAATGCTGTTGTTGAACAAATCAACAAAAACACTCCTAGTTTGTTCATCCTTTATGTAGGACCCAAATGTCTCGATCAATGTTGCAGTTTTAGCCCATGCAAGTCTCTCTCGAGACCTCTCAGGTTCAAATATGCTGCCTGCTGCTATAAAGTAAGCAAATAGGAGACTTTGTTCGCTCAAACCAAATCTCTCTAGTCCTGCTTCCCAGTACCACCTAATATACAATGCTATTGCAAATTTTGGAATTCACTTTTCCATTTGTCAAATTCATTAGTAGAACAGAATGCAATGGTTGATTACACTCACCTTTTGATTCTTTCCCATTCTGCACAATGCACTGCTTGACAGTTGCTGTAGTCCAATTTTGCAAGCTCAAGATAAACATCATTGTTCACAATGGGCATTCTGTTAAACAAGAAGAATAATTACATTATTTGACATGTTTAAGAAAGTGTGTTCATGTATCAGTTAACTTTATATTAATAAAAAAACCACCAGTTTGTTAAAGACTGTAATATTATTTTATAAGCTACCTAAATCAACTAAGAAATTGTTTATGAATATAACAAAATTATAATATTTTTAAAAATGAAATGAGAAAAGGAAAAGAAACGATAAACAATATGTAATAGGAAAAAAAGAAGATAATATGTTATATAATTTTCTTGTATAAAAAGATATTTAACTGAATATATAAGAATAAGTATCAACATATTCAGCATTAATTAATTTAAACATTTATATTTGTTGAAAGTAATATTGAAGAATGAGTAACAAAACTGATAGTTATTCTTGATATTTATTAATCAACGATGCATATGATATATATTTGGTGTGATTAATATTGTTATGGGATTACAAGGTTGGTACCTGTAAAGGGTCTTGCCAATCCAAACATCACTGCTACCACCATATTGTTCAAGATAAAATCTTGTCTCCAATCTTGCCAAGCTAGCATACCAGGGCACGTCCAGAGCATAACTCACCTGTAGGGCAAAAGTAAATTGCAAACCTCTGAAGGAAAATTAAATATATATGAGAAACAAAATTATACACAGACAATAAAAAATGATTCTATATTATGATATTAAACTAAAAAAACAAATCTAACTTGTGTTGTTTTTTCTGTGCATTAAAAAATGATTTGCATTTTTTTCTTCTTACTTTTAGGTAAGTTGTAAAGGTATTGGAACACACCTCGCCAGGTAAATCTTTGGTTATGATCCATTTATCTAGGAGCTCATTTGCTTCACGTTTTTCAGTTAAAAATTTGGCTGAGAAGTTTTTGGCATCCTCAAGAATCTTCTCTCCTTGAAATCGCACTTGAGATGCTCGATAGAGATTGAACATCCCTGTCACAGCTTGGTTCGATTGCCCAGAAATGCAGAAGAACTCGCCATTTTTCTTAAAATGATCAAACACATCTACCACATTTTGAATCAAAATTAAAGCACTGTATTTGGGAAAATCATCTGTCTCTCTAAGCAATACGAAACATTGGTTAAACTATGAAAGAATGCTAGGTTTTGTAGTATACAAATAACTCACTGGCTGAAACTTGGTGCCCATGCAACCTGAGTAGTCTAAATCCCATTGCTGTGTCATCTATATCTTGAATCTCTGAATTCCTTGCCCAGCAAATACCCTTCTCAGTCCAATATCTGAAAACTTTGTCATGATTAACTAACTATACAGAAAACAATGTCCTTTTTTTTTTCTCGCATTTATACTATTTATTCTAAATAAAAATAAATAAATAATTATTATTAGTATTATTGTAACATATATAATATTTAATGTATTACCATTTTCAAATACCATTTAATTTTTAAATTCTTAATAAGTTTATATACTGGCACTAATAACATCTCACGTACCTTGAAACATATGTCACGCATTCTTTGATCTCCGGCTGAAAATATCTTGAAATTCCAAGACGGTCTAGTCTATCGAACATCCATATGTGTTCAAACAAATCCACGGGGTAGACATTGGGAACTGAATAATAAATAAATATTATCTAACAGAATTATTGGATTTAACTCACTATTTTTTCTCTTTTCTTTTTCTTGTCAATCTAACTAATAAAAACATCTTAATACAAATAATTATCTATTTTAAGCAATAACTTAAATTTCAATTGTTATATTACTTTTATTAATTTGATATTTTCAATTTAAAGAAAAAAAGAAGTAAACAAATTAAAACTTAAAAACCTTTTGTGCTTAAATATCAAACCTTCGATGTCCATGCTTCAGTAAACTAAAGTATTTTAAATAATATTATTCCAAAAATATATTCATGTATATTTACACCAAGACAAGAATGAAATTATTTAATTTCTATTAAATTATATATATATATATATATATATATATATATATAAACAAAGTGCGTACGTTAGTTATAATTAAGCCAAACCAATTCAATTGGAAAATACTGTGTTTAAAAAAGTGTAAAACAGAATGGAAATTTTCTTTTGTTAGAATGTTATTTTCATAAATATTTTCATTGACAATATTTGTATATACAGTGTAATTAAATAAGCATCAATGAAGAAAATTTACCTCCCCCATTGAATCTCCGAACTGTTTTATCCAGGTATTTGTGAGCACTTTCATCCTTGGTTTGTATGAGAGCATAAGCTGTAGAAGATGGAGAGAATAAGAATGACCCGTCTTGGCACTGCAACTTCAGTAGCTGTTTCCAGTCTAAATTTTGCATTCCCTCCAAACTGTGGAGCAGAGTTGTAGGCACTTTGTGCAGAATCTCTCTTGGAATTCTGTACCACACATGTTTGCAAGTAAAATATTAGTCAACTCAACAATAAGAAAGTGCTATAGATAACTAAAAACTAGTAAAAAAATGGCTATGTAAACGTCAATATTGTATCCGACGTTAGTATCAAAGGAATTGGTTTTTTACTTCTTCAGTTTCACGTCTCTCATCGCAAGGATGTTTTTCAAGATAGTGGAGTCATCTGGCACTTCAACATCCAAACTTCTTGCTAAATCCAGAAGAGAAGGGAAAGTAACTTCAAACCCGATTGGCATATGTTCTGGATTTTCATCCTGAAGCTTGTACAGATTCTCTTTAAAAAATTTCATTCCTGTTACATACAATGGAAATATATTAAATTAATGTCGCAATCAGAAGAATACTATACTATACTATACTACTATATATTTCTTCATGTATTTCTATAAATCCATCTCACATTTTTATTCTTTCTGAACTTACTTATGAAGGAAAGGAGAAACATTCTTCACCCTTCTCTTAAAGTGAAATAGTGTGAAAGAAAAAGAAATGATTGAGGGTATGACAATATCAAAAGTCGGCACAATTAGAAAGCAATATTTCATGAATGTAAAATTACCCTTCTCACACTTTTCAGGGTGCATGTTCCATGATCTTAATGCAATCACACAAGCTAACGTGTTAAGAATACGATCATGGGCAATGAATAATTGAGAGTCTCCCCAGGAACCATCATGAAGCTGATTATTTGCAATCCATTCAAGACAGGAAGGGAATTGAGGAGAATTTCTGTCCCCAACCTTTTTCACAAGAGCAACCCATGCCGTGTCATATGCTGATACTGTTATTTCTCCATCTTGCTTCGAATCCAATATTAATTTTATGATATTTATTTTCTTCCGTATCTCCTTTGTTACCAAAATCTTCAAGGTTAATAAAATCGATTATCAGATGTCAAAATGTGTTACATACAAATCAAATGGAGAAACATACCTGGTTAAGACCTTCCTCGTCTACATTATCATCCTTCAAGATATTATCCTGAAACACTTCGGCAACAATTTCTGCTAAAAACAACAATTTTATAAACTTTTATACAGTATGGAATAAACATAGTTATTGCGTTACCTTATTTAAACTTAAAATATTATACGATGATCTTAGTAGAATCCGAGAACATATTGGTCGAAATCCACAAATCTTGATATGTTTTCTTTCTGTGAATAGGAGGGGACGGGTACCTATTTGAAAATTGAAGAGATATTCTATATATCAGTATTATGTATTTGAATTAAAGGTATGTGTACGTTATCACTCCAATACAGTATCACTGTCTATTTAATAAGAATCACCCAACACTCATTTAATAAAAAAATAATAAACATTCATCCATCTTCTCCTCTATTTTTTTTTCTCTCTTTTTTTTTTCATCCAAATTTAGGGTGTCAGAAAGCCTTGACTTCAAGCAACGTATTAGTAAAAAAAAAAAAATAGTGAGTAGTAGCATCTTTCTTTTCATCATGCATGTATATTATATATAAAAGACCTACTTTGACAAACTTCACATCATAACTAGAAAGGTTGACTTCTGCATAAATAGTTGGGTGGCCTATTAGGAACCATGCATCAGGCTTCACTGCGATACACGATATCAATTTATATCGATTACTTTCTAACAGAGAATATTTAAAACTTAAATGGTAAAATAATTTTGGCGACTATACCAGTTCAACTTTGAATGTTAAGTAAAACTACTGAAAATGAAGAAAAACAAATTAAAATGTGAATTTAAGGAAACCAGGGTTAAAAGAAAACATAGATACATGACGTACCCGTGAAAATATTATATGACGATCGAAGGTAAAAACTAGCAGGGTCAAAGGATTTTGCTGCAGGTCTGGCACGTGATGAAGAAAGCATGTGACTGTGAGTGAAGGACGATTGAGAAGCCATGATGCACCGGCGCTTTGGAATGCTCTTGGTATTGTTGTGGACTGGTTCAGTAAATCAGGAAGTATTACAGTGTATATTTATACCCATGAAACCAAAAGCAAGTGATATGAAAATCCTTTTCGATCCACCTCACTAACATTTTGGTTCGTGTATTTTGAGCAGTGTAAAATTGTGATATCTTTTTCAATTTGGTAAAATTTTGAACTATTTTGTTCGTGTTCATCTCACCTCTTTCCTTTTTTGACTTGGTACATACTTTGAATTGCGTTGCCGTGTGGGTGATACCTTAACCAGAGTCATTTTGACCAATTTTCCACAATTGATGCTTTACCTAACATGATAAGTATACTTTTACTTTGCTAAATTTGCCAGATTTTAATATTGATACTGCAGTTTGATAACAAATTTCCTAACAAAAAACAAATTCTCTAAACTTTTAAATGCAAAGGATATTTACTTTTTATTATTAGGTACGTACTACTATCAAGAATTGATAAATCATGTACTTAGACTTCTAAGACAGGAAAAACTTTGACTATAAAAAACATAGTAAGAGATCATACAGAAACTTTAAAAACATATAGTATGGAGCTTTATATAAACTCTTGTCAAACACTATATTACATTACACATATAAACTAAAACAAAGATCTTCTCTTTCATGTAGTTCCAACCTCTTCCTTGAGACATCCACTTTCTTAATCTGAAAAAATTAAATTTAGAAGGACAAGACATGATATTTACATCAATTGTTTCACTGTGATTTTCAATCAACCTTTATAAGGCTTAGCACCAAATTGCTATTTTTTCATATTAATTGCACAGCATGATTATGCTCTTTTGGTCATATAACTCCTAAAGCAGTGACAATTATCATAACTATATTCTAAAATTGAGATGTCATATGGATATGACTTTGAAGAGTATTTATTAATATGTTTAGCATTAGATGTGATATGGATATGACAATTATCATTACATTATTTGTGTATGCTTGAAATATTCACAAAATAATTAATAATTGTGAGAATTAAACGATGAATTTTAATGAAATTCTATTAATTCTTTTATTTTTCGTTCACTGCATTTGAATCCAAAATCTAATTTATGATTTTAAACTCCGTTTTTATGCAAACCAATAATATATTGATATTTGATTGAATAAAATTATAAAACTTTGTTTACTATTAGTACATATATTTATTGATTATATTTGTGTGTGTGTCATATTAAAAATGATTATTATATAAAACAAATAAAACAACTTAAATATAAATAATTATATTATCAATTTGACTTAGATTAGCAAATGTTAGTTATTTTAGGTGCTTTGTAAGTATAATTTTTATTTAACAAAAGTTATATATATATATATTGAAAAAAAAATAATACTAACTTACAATTCTGCTAGTAAAGAAAATTAATATAAATATATAAAACATTAATAATAATGATATTAATAATATATACTTATAATGATTTTATTAAGAATTTTAATTTTCTACCAGACAAATTATTACACAAATAAAATCACCAATTTAATTAGTTAATTAACATATAATTTTATTAGTTTAGTGAATAAACAAGTGTGAATTAATTTAAAAGTGGTGATTAAATTTAATATATGTTTAAATCGTTAACTAACTTAAGATATGTGTAGGTGAAAGTGTGTTTTAAATTTAAATTAAAAATGACAATTATATTTAATTAAGAGATAAGTTTAGTTTTCAAATATTAAAAACGAAAACAAAATAAGAGGCTCATTTTTTATTATTCTTCCTCTTTTTTTATTATTCTTAAGAAAAGGGAATCATTTTGTCTCTTCTCTTCCCCTTTTGTTTTCAACTCATAAACTAAGAGGGAATTTTTTTATCACAAATCTTGAGTGCTGTTAATAAGTTCTTTCTCATCTCTTCAATTTCCATGCCTTCTTTATATCTCCACGCATGACCATGGAGCTAAAATTGTGCTTAACCTTGAGCTTCTGATTTCATAGGATTGACTATTTGATGTGATGAAGGAGTTCCTACGGTGTTTTGGTTCATCATTATTTGACTCTTAGTTTCAAGCTTGGCGCTTAGTTTGATATATACTCATCTAAATTTGTGACTTTCAATTATGATGCTTAACTCTAGGATTGGCATCCAACTTGAAATTATCATCCAATTTGATTACTCTATATATACTTTTCAGTTTGAGAAAGTTCATCTAAATTTGTCCACTCATACATACTTTTAGGATTAGGATTAACCTCCAACTTGAGATGTTCATCCAAATTTGATGACTTTCTATGCTTCAAATATTCAACTCCTAGATTGAAAGTTGAGATGTAGGTCCAAGATTTTAGATGCGGCTAATTACTTTATTCTTGCTTTGTTTAAATTTATACTGAATATTTTTTAGGAGTTATGATAATTTGATACTTATTTAATTAATAAGTGTATTTGGTTGGAAATTTCTTAAAAATGATCATGTGTGTTGAGTGATTAGTTTATTCATGATGTTTTACTTATGAAAATTTATATGTTATGAACGATTGTAATTGAAAGAGAAGAAATCAACTATGAATGGCGTGAGATATGTAGTGAGTATAAGGAGGTATAATACTATTTTTTTAATATAAAGTAGGTATTGAGTTACGAAATGTATGGATAAATATATAAACTTTTTATTGATAGCAAAATTACATATATTATATGGGTATTAAGATTTGAAAAGTCGATGAATTTTTTTGTTAGTTATTATGAAATGAAAAATTAATAGTAATTAGATGAATGAGTGTAAAGAATTATATGTATCATATATGGATTACATATAAGAATAGAATTGTGAACTAAATAAATGACCAAATATATATAATAAAATATAACATGTATTGATTGTAAAAACAAAGTTATTACATCTCATAATATTCATCTACTCTCTTTTTTTATAATCTTCCATGAAATTATTTAACTTATTTTTGTTTACAATGTAAACAAGTAGTGATTGAATTAAGTATTAATTATTAAATACAAAAACTAATGATTTAAATTATACGATTATTTTAATTAAAACTATATATATATATATATATATATATATATATATATATATGTGTGTGTGTGTGTGTGTGTGTTGAAATAAAATCAAATCATTTAAAAAAAATTAAGTTTGATAAGATTTTTTTTTCATAGAAAATAGGCTAAGTTTAAGCTTTATATAAAAGCCTTCTTAATAAAAAGCTTAGGTGTTACGTGATTCAAAAATTTTCTTTCTGACCAAACGAGCCAACTTTTTAAAATATACAAGTACTATGTTTTTCTTATTTTGTAACATGATATAAGTTATATTATTATTATTATTATTATTATTATTATTATTATTATTATTATTATTATTGCTACAATATATCAAAATTATATATTTATTTATTTTTCTTAATTATTAACATGTTAAAACTATATAAAATACCAAACGTATATGTTTAATGATTATATATATATATATATATATATATATATATATATATATATAGTAATTTTAATGCTTGGATTTAGACCATTAATAAAATAATTTTGTTAAAAAACCAAACCATGATTTGCAAAATACTTGAAGATTGGACTATACCACTTCTAAATCAACAAATATTATGAACATAATCAGTGTAGTTTTATGGTTGGATGTTGAAGTTAAATATCTAAGGTAAAAAAATTATTTTTAAGGCTTTATATTATAAGATGTCAAGATTTTTATTAGATATTGTCAAGAATTCTTGATATATGGATAAATGATAGAAAAAGGATTTTTTAAATTTAATGTCCAACATACAAAAGTTATTTAAATATATTAAAATAAAATCTATGATTAAAAGATAAAATTGAATATATATATTTTATCTCGCATGTGATATATATTCAAATAATGAATATTTTTGGGTCAAGGAAGATAGATGTAAAAAAGATAAAGTATGTTAGACAAACATCTGTCAACGGATAACCCATCATTTTTTTTATCAATTAAAAATAAATAAAAAAAATTTATATTATTTTTTTAATAATATGTAATGTATTTATTTATAACATAAAATTATAAAATATTATTGTACAACAATTTTCAATTTAATCATACATACAAATAAGAACTTATACATTTTCCTGAAAGTAAACCATTTTTATACCCAATGTTTCAAATGTGATTACTAATGCTAAGTGAAAATTCAGAAGCTACTGTAATTAAGATACTTAAAATATCACCAAATAAAAATATGCTTAAAATGTCAGGAAATAATTTTGATAAATAAAATTAGCAGTTATATATAATTTTAAAAAGTTATAATTAATTATTCATATAAGTTAAAGATATTTTACTAAAAATATGGGATAATATATCTTTTAACTTTTTTTATTAAATATATATTATAAACAACACTAATTAAAGTATTTATAATAATTGGTTTAAAATTAAAATTACTTTAGAGTTAAATTTTCATTACTTGAATAAGATAATTTTATTATAAAAAATAAGATTTACTGTCACATACATACGTATTAGAACTATAATCGTTGATAAATAAGTTATCAATTTGAGGAACATATTCTACAATATATAAAATGAAGTTTTCATAACATACATATTAGAACTATGATCGTTAATAAATAAGGTATCAATTGGAGGAACATGTTCTACAATATAAAATGAAGTTTTCATAACTAAAATAAGTGTTGTGGGAATAAATAAATAAAAAGGTTAAAATTTAATCATACAAGATAATAAAAATGAAAATACATGTAAAAAATACATAAAACATACAAAAAATTTAAAAAGAGGGTTGAAAGTATGCATATAATGAGAAGAGGAAGTAACAACTATTACGACAATAATAAAGAAAAAAAGATGACCAAAATAAATAAAATTTATGTTTAAAATATATTATTGTTTTTAAATTATATATATATAAAAAATATAGTATCAAATTAATGAATTGTACATGTATTTTTTAATAAAATAATATTATTTTTATTTTATTTTAAAAAAAATATTATTTTATAACACGAGTCAATTCATAAGTTTATAAGATAATCTGACCTAAGATCATACTCTAAATAGGTTAAACTAAAATTGTTTGATTTTATTTAGATCGTAAATATTTTAGTTTAATTTAATCTATTTTTAAAAATTTTCTTACTATCCTACCAAATTAATTCTATTTTAACTCCTGTATATCTATCACCAAAAAATTAATGTAAAACCTACTACTAAAGATATTCATTAGAATCAATACCTGGCTATTTAATATAATTACAGCAATTCAAAGTTTAAAGATGTAAATCAACTTTAAAGATATAAAATCAAAGTTGAACTGGGATTGAATTAAATTTAATAAAATAATATTTTTATTTTTATTTTTAATAATATATTAAGCACAAATAAATTTATTAATAATTACAAGTTTCTTAAAAATATTATTATATCATAATGGATATTACTGTCACTGTCAGGCGGAGATTATAATGAGTGCCATATATATATATACAAAATATTATGAAAACAAAATAAAAATGCAATAAAACCATTATTATAATCTAAGATTAATATAATTTACATGAAATAAAAAATAAATAAAAAATATTATACCGATAAGAAAAATCATCTGCACTGATTGGACCCAATTATTCAACCGATTTTATCTATTTTTTTATGAATTTAGCCAATTTTTAACAGCTTATGGTGTCTACTAATTTTTGAAAGATAGCAAACCGTTTCTTTATATTTGACGGATTAAATCAACCATTCTATAATGTTACGACAACATTGAGTGTTAGTACAATGTACATTAAAACATGAAAACCACGTTTTGAAAAAATCCTTACTTTTTTTGGTTCGTGCATTTTGACGTAGTGTAAAATTGTGACTAACTTTTTCAATTTGCCAAAATTCTGAACTGTTTTGTTTGTGTGCATCTCACCTCTTTCCATTTTCGATACATTTCTAAATACATAGAACTTGTTGGTATCGTAGCGAGTATCATTCTTAATTTGACCACTTTTCCATAATTGATGATGGTTTACCTACCACCATAAATAGATTTTTATACTGTTTAATAACAAATGTCCCAATAATCCATAAATTATTTACTATTTTTCTATTATAGTATTACTATGAAGAATTCATAAAATTTTCTAAGTTATATTTGAGTTTAATAGGCTTCTATATTGTTAAAGGTTTGTGTCAACAATAAAAGTAATTATTACAAAATTCAATAAAATTATTATTCAAATCAATTTATGATTAAATAAAAAATATTTGTATATTATTTGTGTATATATTAATTTTTAATTATGTTCTATTATAACTTTTATGATTATTACTCATAAAAGCTCAAGATGAAATTTTATGGGTCGACAGTTGCCTACGTAAATATAAGTTAATTATATTTTGTGATGTGATTTTCATTATTGATTTATTCTAGTTTAAATTTTCCTCATTGTTCACACATATAAATGTATGAATAAATTTTCAATTTTAATTTGTTTTACATTAAAGTTTACTTTAAAAATTCATTCCCTATACCAAAGCAAAATATTTTGTGACTTAAGTAAAATTGTATTTTTAGATTGCTAAAACTCATCTAGTTAAAAGATTTCCCTTTTTTATTGCATATGCAACTTTTTTAAATTTTTAATAAACATTTACAGATCTCATTACACACACACACACACACACACACACACATATATATATATATATATATATATATATATATAAAACAATCTTACATAAAACTAAATCAAAATATTTTAAATAGTTAAAAATATATATGAAAATTTTTACCTCGATTACAAATTCACATGTCATTTTTTTATGTTTTAATTGGATGTTTATTTAATAAAAATTTCGAATTAAATCACACCAACTAAACCATTTATCAGAAAATATTTTAAGTCTCTAAAATAATATACTAAAAAATTCACTACTTAACAATTTTTCTACTCTATAAATTAATTTTACTAATGTTTAAATAATAAATTAAGAAAAAATTGAAGATAAATATTGACTTGTGTCCTAAACATTGCACGTTGTAAATTCAATGAATTAATAAAAAATTATTAATTAGAAAATTACTACAAATTGAACTATTATGTGTGAAGATATATAGTTAGACTTTTTACGTTATATTATATATAATACTATTAACAATATAAAAATAATTATTAAAATGTACATCTCTATTAGTGTGTCAAATATCTTCACATAAATGTATCTCATGTTTGAGTAATTGTGATCAATAATTTATATTACTACTAAATATACGTATAAGTAGAAATAAAATGTGGTACGAGTTCAAAAGAGAGGGATGAATTGGTGTAAAATCTTTTTCATTTATAATATGGTTTAGATATACCTAGATTATATAAATATTTGTGCTATCAATGAATAATCTGATATTTATGCAAAATTTTGAGATGAATATACGGAAGAGTTACAGTTCTTATTTGATTTTAGATTAAGCAGTCAATTCAATATATATATATATATATATATATATATATATATATATATATATATATATATATATATATATAAAATAGATAAATAAATAATCAAACGAAGCAGGTCAAAGGAGTTATATGGAAATATGTCATGTTTACTTAAAAAAAATTGAGATACGTAATATTTTACATGCATTATGATATAAAAAGGGAAACATGTACACTGTAAAAACGATTAACAACGGTTAAAAATATCTATGAAACTGGTTACAGATTTATCGATGATGAAGTTTGTATGTGAGAAAAATAATAACAGGTGAGGATTATTCTTTTAGGTCGAGAATGGTTATTTATAAATAATCATCCTTGTATTTTTACGTGATGGATTTGATCATATTTATCAATAAATTCCTGCGTGAAACATGTTTATAATGATTATATATGTAATGTTGTTTTAACAAAATATTTAACTATCCTAATATATTAATTAAATTGATAAAATATGTAGTTCATATGCATCTAATATATTATATAACATTTATATCAAATAATAAAGAAATATTTGTCTTAAATAATCCAAACTTCTATCTATCTCTGCATAAACAATGATTATAATCTATTACATGACGTAATAACTGTACTCATATCCTTTAGTTTGTCTATATATTATTAAATATTTTACTTATATAACTCTTCCCTTTATATCTTTATTATTTATTGCATAAACAATGATTATAATCTATTACATAACGTAATAACTGTATTCATATCCTTTAGTTTGTCTATATATTATTAAATATTTTACGTAGCTTAGGGTTAGAGGCTGATACTTTAATCACTAAGTCTACAGAATTTTTTGATAATAATTTACAAATAAATTATATTTATATATTTAAATAATTATATATTTATATATTTAAATAATTATATATTTATATAGTTATATATTTATATATTTATATATTTATATATTTATATATTTATATATTTATATATTTATATATTTATATATTTAAATATTTAAATATTTAAATAATTATATATTTAAATATTTAAATAATTATATATTTATATATTTATATATTTAAATAATTATATATTTATATATTTATATATTTAAATAATTATATATTTATATATTTATTTTTTAAAATTATTTAATTTAAGAAATTATTATAAATTAATCTAATTATGATTAAATTAAATTATTAAATAAAAAATATTTTATTTTTTAATTAGGTGAATATTTACTAATTGGTAATTTATCGACGGAAATATAGTCGGTAATTTACGGATGAATTTATCGACGGATATATCCGATTGGTAATTAATTGTTAATTTAGCTGACAGATTTATCAGACGGATATATCCGTTCGGTAAATTCATCCGTAAATTACCGATAGATTTATCGACGGATATATCCGTCGGTAACTAATTATTATTTTACCGACGGATATATCCGTCAGTAAGATCAAATTCCACAAATATTTTATATCCGTTCGGTAAGTTCAGTCGATAATAATTATTTTCCGACTGATTACAAATCCGTCGGTAAATATCCATCGGTAATACACAATTTTCTTGTAGTATATAATACAAAATAATTTTTTTTCCGATAGGAAAGTATTTATGATATATATGTTTATGTATCTAGTTTCTTATTACCCAATGATAAAATGAGTTGAGATCTAAAAATTCATACACCTCAAATATATTATTTTATATATATATATATATATATATATATATATATATATTACAACAATAAAAAAATTCAATATCCATTTTTCAATAAAATCTAGATTAGTAAAAAGTTTTCAAACAATATTTTATTTTATTTTTAAAATAATATTTTTATCTTTGCGAATGATAGTACATTATTGCAAAACTGAAGGTCAAATAATAAAATATTCAAATATTTAAACATTTTAAATCAAAAAATATTATCTTATTTTGACTTTAATTATTTTATAAATTAAAATAAAAAACTGTGAAAATAAAATACTGTTATTTTTTATAAGAATCATTGTTATTAAAAGCATTAATATATTAAAAATAAGATTAAAAACAAAATTATGAAAACTCATCAATAATATATTTATTGGCATTAATTAAATAATTTAATATTAAAAATACAATAAATTAATTTCAAAATTGAGGAGTTTTCAAAAACTTATTATTAAAAAATAAAAATGGTATGTTAAGAAAAATCATCTCATTTGTCATTGAATATATTTGTTAAAAAGAAAATACATTAGTTATAATAATAAATATATTTTTCAATGATCCATTACATAATTAAATTTAGATTAAGAAAATCTTCAAAACGATAAACCTCCATTTAATTATAACTTAAATACAATAAAATATTCCTTATAATAATTAAAATGTGGACAAAGTCAAAAATCCATCTGATAAAGTGAAGAGAACAAAAAGAAGATAAAAATCAACTTAATTAATTAAGTGGAAAGAATAAGTATTCAAACATGGAACATAATAACAGTCATTGATATGTATTTAAATATTCTCTTTTCTCACCAAAACCAATGCTATATAAAGCCAATATGCACCTGACTTTTTTCACATACTCCTCCTGGAAGAAAGATGGCAGCAACAAGGTCTCAGCTTTGCATGTTGTTGGTTGTGGTGTTATTCACCTCAACAACAGGTTCGAACGTTATTTCATTTTGAGATCAAACATGGTTTCATTACAAAGTTAATCCTTATTTTCTTTAAGAGTTTAGTTGACATAATATTGAAAAAAAAACTGTTTAGTGAAACTAACAACATCTTTGATGCTTTTTTTTGGTGCAATGAACAATTAATCATTGAGAAATTGTGTGCAGTACTGGGTCAGCACACCCCATGTATCATTGCTGAAACAAACTGTGCAACGAACAATGACTGTGATGCTGCGTGCAAATTGAAGGTACCCAAAAACTTGTACTGTGCTGGTTTTAATATTTGCGACGATGGACACCCGGAACATCATTTCTGCTGTTGTCGCCAAATTCCGCACTGTCCTAATCAGCCATTTGAGAGAAACATTAGGGCTTAACACAATCTTTATGCAATGCACAATGTACCCTCTTATCTTAGTTTATAATAAAAAAAAAATTATGATATATAAAAATATCATTTTTATCTATATCAATATCCTGCTATATAATGTTGAAACAATCTAACTTCTTGTTTGTTTGAGTGGCATTATATTGGATTTTTTTTTTAAATCTCAAAGTTTAAATATTATAGTTGAGAAAGTAATAGAGCTTATTAAAATTGGTCAATCTGATTCTCCAGAAGTGATTAATCATAAACAAAACCAATAACATCACCGCAAATAATACGCTAATGAGTAAAGGTTAAATTTGGACCGTTTTAATAAATAGTTGTAAACTATATAATTGTATCGATTAATTTTTAACTGTTACAATTAATCGATTTTTAATTTGAAATTTAATAATATTAATTACCTTGCCACACTCAATTCCTCCTATTCCATACTTCTAACTCTAAACTTCTTGTTCTCAATTTCGCGACTCTTAAGTTTTGTGGCTCCAACCGGTGCTCATTCTTGCAATTATTAAGGTTTAGGTCGATTTATCTTTAATTTAGATTTAGTATTCTTTTAACACGAAACTTCTAGTTTATAATTTGGGTCAATTTACGTACATTCTATGTATTTTGAAGTTAATATCTTAAGTAATTATTACGCAACTATGTTCATTATGTTTAACACGTTTGTTACATCTATTATGATCTTTAGTGAGAACTCAAAGCATTTTATTATTTGTATAATCCTCTACAGACAAGAACATGACATAATATAGTGGATAAAAAAGGTAAAAGGTGACATAGAGCTTGGAGTGGAAGAATTATATATGATCATAAAAGTGAACACTGCAGTCAATTATACCTAATTTTGATGCATATATCTCATAATTTGATGTTTTGCTAGAACAAAATAATATATGATAGATTGAAGAATTTGTTGCATAAATGTCTTTTTCTTAAAAGTTTGAATCTCTATACACAGTCAAGGTTGGTTTTGAAACTTGAGACTAAATTAAAGTGGTCTTGCATTAAAATTTCATCAATTCATATCATTACTGTTATTCAATTTTATACGATTAAAAGAACATATTTCTTCTATAGGAATGTTTTTTGTGCTACTAGAATGTAAAAGTGTGGGTGATTATGTGAAGTGTTACTAAAACATTATATTTATTTATTAATGGTTTTTATTAATTGTGATTTAGTTTTTATTAATCTATTGATTAGTACGAGTAACTCTTTTTTTGCCTTTTGAATGTGGTGTTACCTACTCCAATTAGTTAAGATTAGATGTGTTCACATGAAATGCAAGCTTCTTTAAGAAGTAAATGATGTGAATACGGGGATAAGTAAAGATGGAGAGAATCTCGCTACGAATTTTATTTTTGTTTAAAGCACACATCACATTTAATCACTTCACAAATAATTATTCATATTATTTTCACTTTATGATTAATTAATATAATTTTGTAACATAAATGGATGAATAGTGAATCTGATTGATAATAACAATTTATTACTTTTGTTTCTCTTTTTTAAATATTAAAATACTATTTCGACAAGAAATTTCTGTATATTCATTTTGTTTGTAAACACTCGTTCTTAATTCTAGTATGTCCACTCATCCAACTGAACATTATTGTTTAGTTGCATTGAGTTTATTCTGTCGTTGACTCTTTAGTGCCCAACACGTTGTTCCATTCCACCTCTCTAGTCTCACATAAATATTCCCTTGAGTTTGAGTTATACTTTTTTTGTGATTGATAACCTTGAGATACTCTTCTATTAGGTTCATCCCATTTGAATCTTGTTGTTTACTTCATCTATTTCTCATTATTTTTTTTTATCTATTTTTATAATGAACATGTGGTAAAGTACGGTAACGGTCTGAAACTCCTAAACTCGAAGGACTGAAATAAACTTTTTATTAAAAATATGAAAATATTTAATTCAGTTTGGGTTTACTAAGAAAGATTTATAATCATATAACATTGTATGTATAATTCACGAAAAACTATTTATGGAAGAAAAAGTATTTCTTCCTTAATTAATAAGGAATATCTTCCCACCAAAAAATTTTAGTTTTGTTGAAAAAACTTTACTGAATCCCTTTTATGTGATAATATAAGAAGAGAATTTTCATATCGAGAGGAAATTATATATGTTGGTATTTATTTATTTTTTTATTAAAAGAGTGTTGTATTTATATTGTAAATCACTTTAAATTTCTTTGTTTTCTTTTTTATTAATATATTACATATTAGTTGAGTTCTCTTAATTCTTAGAAAAGATATTATTATTATTTACTCATTAGATTTAAAAAGGATATTGTAATTTTTACCTATAATAAAATTTTATTATTGTCTATTATCTATTTTATTTTTTATCTTTCATTTTAGTTGTGAGTTTTTATATTGTTATTCCGATTTCTAAGAGTGGTATCGAGTAACTTGATTTTTTGTTTATAATATTATTATGCTCTACATTCATTAGAATAATGTTGGAGAAAATTATTAATCTGTTCTATGATTGCATCTTCCACATTAGAAAATAGTTATTCTAGTTACTAAATATAGAGTGTGGTAGTGTGACAGTGCATGTCTAGGAAAAGTTCTATCAAGGAATGACTTGATATTTGATTGTGTCCATCTATAACTCACCTCATTTTCTTCAGAGTTTACCTTACCTATTAAGCAAGTTACGGTATACACCGTTATTCTAATAGGTAATATTATTGATAGTAAAAGATACATAAATCGGTTAAAATCATAACAACAAAATATGAGATAGAAAAGTTCAATAAGAATAATTTCTCATTGTGAAAACTGAAGATAAAGACAATTTTGAGGAAAGACAATTGTATATATATAATTGAAGAAAGACCCGTAGGTATCATGAATCAAAGGTAGGAAAAAGATCAATAACTACGTTATAGCAAATATGCATCTAGTATTGACAAATGATGTTTTGTCTAGCATTGCGGAGAAGGATACAGTGAAGAAGATTTGGAGGTCTCTTATCAAATTGTATGAGGTTATGTCACTTCACACAAAAATATTATTGAAGAGAAAACTTTATATTCTTCGAATGAGTGAGTCCACATCATTATCAAATTGTACGAGGTTAAGTCACTTCACACAAGAATATTCTTAAAAAAAAAACTTTATACTCTTCGAATGAGTGAATCGACATCAGTGACAAATCACATGTTTGCCCAACTTTCAGCAGTAAATGTTAACATAGTTGAAAAGGAGCGTGTGAAACTTCTACTTTAGAGCTTACCAGATTCGTATGATAAACTCGTCATCAATATAATAAATAATAAAAATTGATGGACAATTTCACTTTGAGAATGTTTCTAAAGTTATACTTAAAGAAGAATCCAAACAAAAAAGTAAGGTGGAAAGTCTGAATCAAACAGAGACTTTGATGATAATGAAAGGTAAATCAACGAAATATGATTCTAGTGGGAGTCAAAATCATGGTGGATCAAATTTTTGAGGAATGAAGAATCTTATTTACTACCATTGTGGCAATAAAGGGCATGTAAGGAAAGATTGTTAACTTAGAGTAACATAGATTGAAGTTTGTTAGAATGATTATCAGGAGGAAACACATATTGGACTAGGTTTATTATGATGTGTTAGAATCACTTATTTCTAGGAGGGGCCAAATATTTTGTATTAGTGATGATTACTCTAAGAGATTATAGGTATACCATATCAAAATGAAATCTATGTTTTCAAAGTTCAGGAAGAGCATATTCTTTGACTATGCAAACGTGAATGGCTATTTCCTATGGGATCGCACTACCCATAAGGTTATTGTTAGCGGAGATGCAAATTTTCTTCAATGTGAACTTGGAAAATAGATAGGTATGTTTTAACTGGAAGATTTTAAAGAAAAAAGAAACTTGGTTTACAGGTTAATCAAATATCTATATGGTTTAAATTGGCGCCCATGTGTTAGAACCGGAGATTTGATTCTTCATAATTAGTTTTGACTACAACAAACTAAGCTCAGACTATTGTACCTATTACAATATATTTGATGAGAATGATTTTATCATTTTGTCGTTATATGTGGATGGCATGTTGGTCGTAAGCTCCTACAAAGCTCGAATCGAAGTTTTGAAGACATAATTGGTTAGGAAGTTTGATATAAAGATTAAGGACTAGCAAACAATCTTTTAAGGATGTAAATTCACTGAGACATAAAAGATAAGAAAATTTAACTTTATTAGAAAAATTACTTAGTAAAAGTCTTATATTGTTTCAACATGCAAGGATATAACACAATTTATATCCCACTTTTTATCAAGTAAGTTATTTTCAAGTATGAATCTTAACAATGAAGTAAAAAATATGGAAATATCTTAAGTACTATATACAATAATGAAAAGTCTTATAGATATTATGATTGATACAAGACCAGATATTGCACAAGCACTGGAAATTGTTGATAGATTCATGACAAATTATGGTGGAGAGCATGAGTGTTATTAAGAGGATCCTTATCAAAGGAACTTTGGATGTTGCATTATGTTTCGAAGGATCAGAACTAGTTGTCAGAAGTTATGTTCAGATTTTGTAGGTGATCTTCACGTGTTCACACTTGTATGAGAGGCTCAAGATGTTATACTTTTGTCTACTGCAGAAACTAACTACATAGCGAACCACCTAACATGTAAGGAAGTTATCGGAATTAAAAAGGTCAATGAAGGAACTCGGGCACAAACAGCAAAAGATTGTTATGTATTGTGACAAATAAAATGTCTTGCACATTGTAAAGAATTATACTTTGTATTTCATCATACAACAAGAAAAATCTAACAGATATTATAACAAAGTCGATTAACAATAACAAGTTTATATGTAGTCAATCCTACTGAAATTCTACTACAAAAAATACCAATACGAAAAACAATTATAATATATTATGTAATATAAAAAAAGAAGTCCTAATAAGAAAATTTATATTAATACTTACTTTTCTTATTATAAAAGCAACTCTAAATTTAACAAAGATATTGTAATTTCTTTAAATAATAAAATTTTAGTATTATTTTTTATTTTTATCTTATGAATTCTTAAGTTATTTATCTCTTGTTCTTAATTTTTTTTTACAGCAACGAACATATCTAAAGTTTATAAGAAAAAAAAAAAACCCTTAAAATGTTCACATCCAACTGTAGCCAACTACTTCCTTCTAAAATAACTTGCTTAATTACAGGTCTGCTGCTATCAGACAGGAAGTTCTCTAGCTAAACTTCCATTTCATACATTCCATTAGTTTTGAATAAGCAATTTCATGGGCTTCCAAGGCTTGTCCTTACATTTCTAACTTCCCATGTATTTCCTCTTGATATTCCCTAAATATGATTTTGCCATCTGTAAAAGGCATGGTTTCTGGCACTGGCTCCTAAATATCCTCGATGAACACATCTAAGACGGGGCAAGAGTTGAGCTTGATTTAGTCCTACAATTGTTGGAAAATCTATGTTGACTTCATATGTTTTTTTCTCACATTAGTCATCACCTCTTCACATGTCCTTGATTGCTCAAATGTATGTAATATAGACACCTTTCTTTTCTCTTGACTTTTCCAAAAATAATGTATACCATGTCAGTCTCTTTCATTCCTCCAATATCGCTCCATGGATCATCATAAGAAATATACGTCTTCCATGGTCAACCTCTTTGGCATTAAACCAAATTGAATTTCAATAATGGAAAACATCACTCACCCTCTTTCTTAGCTTCATAGCATGGCTCATGAATTTAATGCACCTCTGTAATTTGCTCAATTTTGCATATCTCCTATGTTCTTGCAAATAGGGGTAAAATGCTTCTCCTGCACCTGTCTGCCATTTTTGGACCTTATAATCTTAACTTAAAGAACTTTGTGAGGCAATTCATGCCTCTCTGTCCTGGCCCACAATTCCCAATCTGTAAATTATTCAGCTCAATAGCCTCCCTACCGTCACCGCATTGCTCAACTCACAATTTTTGTCAGAAAATTTGGTCTTGCTTTGATATCACTCCTGGAGTCCATGACTTAGCTAATGATTGTTGTAGTTATTTTGGGAATGATCATTCTGAACGTGTATGTTGTATTGGATCAGGATGGTGTTCCACTTCAGGTAGTGTAGGTACAATTTTTCAAATTTTAATTTTACTCGATGTCATCAATCAAAAGCGAAAATTATTAGCTTAAAAGAAAAAAAAATTAATTTCTAAAGAAAATATTAAAATATTAAAAAAATTAATTTCTAAAGAAAATATTAAAAAGTGTTATATATTCGCATGTATTAATAAAGGAAGGGCATTCTTTCCCAAATTGGTGTAATGTTTAGTAAGATAAGTAATATAACTATAAGTAATTCATATTTTATTTTAAATAAAATTATATTATTTAATATTTATACGAAATTTAATATCTTATAAATATTTTTAAATTATATTTATATGATATAATTTTTATTTCCAAAATATGTTAATATTATCAAGAGGATCTTCATTACACAATAAGTTTTATAAAACTTGATATTATATGTAAATATTTTATATTTGGTATTAATAAAATTATATTGTTTAGATTTTGAGATTATAATTCAGATTAAAAAATAATTTATCATTAAAATAAAAACCAGAATCAGTAAACTTCAATAAAATCATAAATAAAATACATATTTAAATTTATTTTATACAATATTATATGTTAATAGAATAAAAATATTTTTTATTAAATTTAACGATATTATTATTATTATTATTATTATTATTATAAATTTAAAACACAACCTAGATATATAATTAAAAAAAATGTCTAGTATAAACTAAAATCAATATAATATATTGCCCGTGGTACATGGAATTATAAAAAGAAAATATTTATAAAAACAATGTGGTTTTCTCTTCACTCCTTCAAAATAATTCCTACCGACTAAATGATAAAAACATCACATGACAACTTCATTTATATAATTTGGATAATTTAGACTATGAACCTGAATATGTCGTTAAAACGAACTCTAATTGCTACTATTTTTCATGCAATAACATAATATCATTTAATATACAAGTATTTTAATTTATAAAACAAACAAAAGAATGTTCACGTCAAAAAAACCTAAAGCGTGATATTTACTCTTTCATACATCCTGATCTCAAGTCAGAGAACATCATATTTGATAGAATCAAGGAAAAAATATGAAAAAAAAAATCACATAATTTCATTAAAAAAAAACACAGTAATCATAATTATTTTCGTAAAATATTTTAAATTAGAAAATAAATTACCTCGTAAAAATTACCTATGATGCTTATACATTACAAGATTTTCATTGTCTTTATTTTCCAATTTGGTTAGTTCGATTCATACAATTTGACTGGGTAATGTTTTCTTCCAATCAACGCCACACCAAATCCACCCAACATAATGAACAAAAGCGAAAGTAATAACTAAAGATTTATATGTAAAAATGAATAATTTATGAAGTACATTTGCTGCTATGGGAACTAAAGAACAAAAGAAAAAAACATGATGATATGATATATATGTAAATATCAGAATGGCCTCAAACGCGTCCAATAATAAGACCAAACTAACATGCCCTGTCCTTTCCAAAAGTATCGACAAAGATAGTAATCCTGCTTAGATTTAAAAAATTGTAGGCCCAATGAACCCTTGCTTCCTTTCATTATCTGTCACTCACCAGCAAAAGTAGCCGCATCTATTCTGTCACGACACCGAAAATCATCATATTTGTATATATACACGATAGTATCAGAGTTTTCTTTCACTCCTCCCGTATATTATTTCCACAATAATCCATCGCACAGGAGCATCCGTACGTCCCCACAGGGGATAAAAACACTCTTCCAAACCAATCCAAAAGTTTGTCTTCAATCATCAGCTCTTTCGGAAATAGTTCAAGGCATAGGCCGTTTATACTGCAGGCTATGTAATGGCGTGCTACACCACAAGGACCTCCATGCCAAGAGTACTGATTGCGATAGATAAAAGAGTGGGACTGTAGAGAAATCCATTTTTTGTCTAGGTGCAGTATACCGTTTGATTTCTAATACTTCAGCTCAGATAGGTGGCTGGGGCACGAGCTCAAGATCGACGGGACATTTCTACCACAAACTGGGGAAGATTTTTGGCCATTCGCAGTGGAAGAATTCTCAGTTGGTTGCATCTGCGAAGAGTTCACTGATGAGCTAACCTTGCTTCCCTGGGAATTTGTCTTCAGGTTGGCTCCAGTAGGTGGAATTCCTGCAACTGTTGTACTAAGAGACTGGTTGTTATTGAATAGCTGTTGCCCTTGGAGTGGTAAGGACGATATGTAATTTCCCCCATAAGATATTTGGGTATGACCCTGCAAAACTCTTCCTTGATCCTGAGAAAAACTTTGGAGAGTTGGGGTAGAAGTTACGATACACGGGTTATGAACCTGAGAATCAAGGGCTGTTACCAACATTTTTGACTGAGTGCCTTGAATCGAACTTTTGCTCTGAGTTTGAGTTTGAGTTTGTGAATAAGCCAGGGGAGTGAAAAATTTTGCACCAATTGTAGCATTTGTTGATGGGGCTTTATATCGGGTAGCCACAGCAGGTTGCTGCTGTAACAAGCCATGCTGCTGCGGAAGATGAAGCAGCTGTGATGGCTGTTGAGACTTTGCAGGATTACTAGAAAGTGGCAAACCTGTGGTTGTTCCAGTTGAAGTAATGGAACGACTAGGCCAGTTTCCATTCATGGGAGATGAAACTAAATTATGATTCTTTGATGAATTATCAAAAACAAGGGTTGTTGGTCCGTTGGTTGATGGCTTCCCAGAAGTGGCTTTCTTTTCATCTTCTTGGTGAGAAGAACTATCTCCACTCTTCCCTTCTATAATGGGATACATCTTTTGTTGAGTTGCATGAGATGTACTTGCAGCATGATATCCTTGCCATGCAATATCAGACAGGCTCTGAAATATCACTGGGTTTTGTGCCATGGTTGAGAAGTTAAGATTTGAAGGAGCACTTGCCCCGTTATATGCAGAAAATGAGATTGCATATGGTTGAGATGGAATATGATCAAGTCCCCCCTTCAAAGTCTGTTGCTGCTTGTCGCCAAAATTCCCACTGTAGCCACCAACACTATCTGATGTTGTCGATGGCGTTAAAGAAAGGCTCAGTGGCTGAACTGGAATAGGGAAGTTTTGCCCAAATACATTCTTTTGGGAGTAAGCTGTTACAATGGCAGCAGATGGAGCATTCTCCCCAGCCATCCCAGTCTCATGCTTGCGAAGATGAGACTGTGAGGTGTGCTGTTTTTGTGACTGCTGAAGTTGCATAGTTGTGGAGGACAAAATATGGTTGTTGTTACCTTGCATTCCTTGTGACTGCTTATGAGATGATGATGATGAAACACTAGATGTGCTTGCATTAAGATAACTAGGTTGAACCAGTGGTTGAGAGTGAGGATGTTGTTGTGGATACTGAAGTGGGTGGAAGATCTGAGAAGAGTACAACGGCCCATTGAGAATAGGTGTTGACTGTGCAGGGCTTGCATTTCTGATAGCTGCGGATGGTCCAAGGGGGTTTGCAAAGGGGAAGGGATACCCACTATTCGGAACTATTGTCATATATGGAGCATCATTGGCTGCCAAATTTGGGTAGCTAAAGCTCATTGCAGCAGCAACTGCTGGCAGTGTTGAAGCACCAAGAGATCCAGCTGCGGAACCGTGGAATTTATTAGACAAGGAAGAACTGCTACTGTTGTTCACACCACCAACTTGACTAGTATTTGTTAATACAGATGCTTGATGCTGGCTAGGAGGAATTGGGAAAGCAGGACCATGCTACATTCAAAGTTAAAACACATGAATTTCCATAATAAAATAGACTGTGTCCTATTATTGAACTGTATAAAAACTGCTGGAAGGCAAGATCATACAACTATATTAGCAGAAGACCCTGGATGTGGACCTTGCTGAAGCATAAGCTGCTTCATTTGCGTCATATCCATTGGGTTGGCAGGACCAGAACTTTTAAATGCAGCAAGACTAAAATCACTTGTGATAGACCAACCCTTATCCGGGGCTGCATTTTGGCTGACACCTGGTGGTGACTGTTTATGAAACTGCTTCCCAACAACGACACTTTCAGCAGATTGGACTCTGTTGAGCTTTGTGTCACACATAGAACCACAGCCAACTGCAGACGGCAAAAGGGTATTCATCTTTGTCCACTGTTGGTGCATGAAGATGTTCCGAGCAATGTAACCATGGGTTGCACATCTCTGTGGCCAAGGTTGAGACAAAACAAAGTGCTCATGCTGTATGTTTAAATTATGCAGGAAACATTAGTAACACAGATCCATATTACAGGAAGAATATGAGAAGGTTGACACTAGTAAGAACAAACAAAAGGACTTAAACAAGGACAGCAACATCCAATTTAGTGAGAAATAGCATTACTTGAGGAGCTGTCAATAATCCTGTTGTTTTATCAGTCTTCACAACTGTCCCCATGAGCGGCATGTATCTGCAAATCATAGTTACTTCTCTTAGAAAAGCAAAGCCACCACATTCACATCAGACCAAACGACAAGTAAAATCAGATACGGATCAAAATGACGAAAAGAAAAAGAAAAAGAAAATAGTGAGGAACATAAATGGTCTAGTACCCAAGGGGAGAGAAACTGCTTGGCCTTTCGGATACAGCCACTGACAAAGACATTGAACTACATTGAGCTGAAGAAGTAAAGAAGTGTAAGAGACCTCTATTCAACAACAAAGCCAAAATCAGAGTTTGCATGCGGTACTGTATGCTTAATTATATAACAAAAGTAAAAAAGGAAAAACTCTCAACCTACCAGATTTCTCAAGTTTGGGATTTGTTGATGTTGTAGTTGGTTGTTCCTTATTCCTACCCAGCTCACCTAATTCATGTTCTGTTGCTAGGTTATTATGTTTATCTGGCTTCTCCAAATCAACTTTCATTTTCAGCTCTTCAGTTTTTTCCAGTGCTTTCTCCTTCTTATTGAAACTTTCTACCTTGTCTTCAACCTTGTTACTGTCTTCACCCCTTGACAAGTTATCCCATTCTGGCGATAAGGCCGCAGGTGGAGGAGCCTGTAATTGGAACAAAGACATTCATCTTCAGACACTTGACAGCAATTCCCAAAGGGAGATACAGTAATAGAAATGCGAAAGAGAAGGATCCTCACCATCAGATCAATCTCAAACTTGTGCTGGTCGTTGCCCTCCGGAATCCTAGTAAAAAATTCAGCAAGAAGATAATGGATATAATCAGTTACCTCGAGAAGAATAACCAACAACAACAGAACAAAAAGTTGGGTCTTCCTTTTTTCTAGTTTCAACGCTCACCCTACGTTAGAAGCACAATCCTGTTTATGAACATCCAACTTGGATTCTGATTTTCCATCTACAGTCTCCCCAAATCCACAACCTGAATTCAAACTATCTTCCTCGGTGTCCTGTTTTGGACCCTGGGATGTCCCAATTCCATGACCACAAGACATCCTAGGCGATTCGGACGAAGGTTTCTCCGTTTTCTCATGTTGCTCGCTGTCAATTCCGACTGACTCGGCAATTGACTTGTTCGGAGGTAGAGTGAAAGAAGATCTGTAATCTCCCACTTTCTTTTTCCCTGCCGATAAAAATGCCGACGAAAAAATAAAATATCAGAAAATGTGAGACGAGAAGAGGGAGAGAGAAGGGCAAAAGAAATGAGGAAATACACTATCTGATTCGAAAATTCAACCCACCAACGTCAACGGAAGGGTAAGACGAAAGTGGAGGCGAATCACTTGCTTCAACCTTCTGCGAAGAAGAATAATCATGGTTCTGAGAAGTTCGTAAACCGTACAGAAGCTCAGCTATCTCAATCTCGATGTCTTCCTGATTCGACGAAGACGGTCCAACCGCTTTCTGCAACAAAACCCATTCTCAGTTTTCTTTCTAAAAAAATAGATCGAACAAATAAAATAAAATATAAAAAGAATGCAAAGGTATCTCAGACCATCTTCTTGGGAAGAGAAACATTGGAAGACGAAGGCGACGCAGCTTCAGCACTCTGCTCCTCAACCCAACTGTGATGCGGTCTTTTCACAGAAGCTAAGAGAAGAAAAACCCAAAAAGCAAAAATCAATATTGTCAGAGAGAAACTAAAAACAAGAAGAATTATGATAAGACCTGAACGAGTCCTCCTGGGCACTGTAGCACCGATCATCACTTGGTCGATCACGTTCCGTCCTTGGTGGTTATGATCAGATGCGGACGACGCAGTATTGTTAGAATGCAACCGCGCCTCCGGTTCATTTCCCACACTCTCTTCCTCGGTGCTGTGAGAGTTACTCCCTCTCCTCTTCTTCGTCCATTCCCTCTTATTATTATTATTATCCTTCGACCTCATCTCCTGCACCTCCTCTGTCGAAAAACACAAATCAGATACGCATAGCCAAAATTCAAAAAAAAAAAAAAAAAAAAAAAGTTATCCATACGTGAAGCGCCTCGGAGGGAGATAGTAGGGTGACGGCGTCTGGGGAAGGCGTTTGCGGACATGGATGAGGATGATCTTCCTCTGTTTCGGTCCATGGCGAGTTTGCGTTTTCTTGTTGGTTTTGTGTCATGAAATGTACGGAAAGCGGCGAAAAATCAGAACGGTCGAATAGGATGCGGCAGCGGAATCCTAGCAGAAGCGGCGGCGTAATGGTCGGATTCTAGAGACCGAAAGGAGTGGTGCTGTTTTCTGCTAGAAAAATGCTCCCACTTCTTCTCCCTTTCTTTTCGCTCATCTCTATATGTTTCTCTAACATTTCTTTCTCTTCCCTTCCCTTCTCAAAACACCACAACAAACCAAACTTCACATCTCCCTCCTTCTTCTCTATTCTTTTATTAAACTCAAAAAATAATAATATAATAATAATAATAATAATAAATGAATATTTATTATTTTATATACTTAATTTTCGCACTAATGAGTAGCAGACGGCTGGGATTTCGTGACGAGGTTTCTCGCTCGATCATGGGCGTTATGAGTTGGAGATCGGACGGTGATGACCTCCTCGTGACTTGCCTGTGCCTACATGGCACACACGTCCTTGTCTGGTGGAATATGATATCAGCAATGCGCACTTTGCCATGTGTCACTTTTTTATATATTTTGTGTCAGTAATTTAATGTTTTTGCATTAAATTTTTCATCAAGAAAGATCCACTCACACGCATTAAACTGGTGCGTCCTTCCAAAATGCCACAGTGAAGATATTACTGTGGCAGGGTAGGTGGTGGGGTAGCATACACGTGTCTCTTTAGTTGGAACTTGGAAGAAGTACCAAAATATCTTATGTTACTGTCACAGTAGATATTAAATATATTTTAAATTATTAATTTAACCAAGAAAAAAAAAATACAAAGAAGGGGAATTATATAAGATGGTGCTGTGTTGGCTGGCACCTGAGTTCACTGAAATTAAAACTGTTCATTGTAATTAAATAATTAATTAAGAATTTTTAATAACATATTAATTAATTGCTATAATATATTTTGAATAAACAAAATTATGATGGGGTTGCTTTGCAAAGTGAAGTTACATATTTAATTGAATTCAATTTTTTCAAGTAAGAAAAGTTTTAATTAATTGCCAGTTTATGAGACCAAGAATTTCAACATTAGACCTTATGATGGTTTAGTACCTGTATTTGGTGATTACATATAATATTATCACACGCTTTAAGAATCATGGTATTAATCTAATAACAGAACTAAACGTTTAATCATGAATTGTGATTTTGGTTGGAAGTGGCAACAACTATCCATAACAAGTAGCTTAAAATATAAATTTTGATGGATTTTCTTTTTCTTTCTTTAAGCAATTACTATTAATCACTTAGAACAAACTTTTATTTGATTGTTTCAACCAGAGAAAATACTATGTTGATTATCATATTCTGAAAGAAAATTTAACCCATCAAGTCAATTTGTATCAAATTTCTTCCCGTTCATGAATTTAGATAACATATTGACTTTTTAGTTGAATTAAAAGGAAAAATCATGTTAAATACATTTTTATCTAGTCCAAAAAAATATTTCAAGTTTTTAAAAATTAAATAGTTTAACTTTTATGTTAAATTATTTATTTTTAAAAATAAAAATAACTTTTTATATTTCAACTCTTACATTATCTTCGTTTGCTCTTTTTTTCTTTTTCTCTTTTCTTACATGTATTTTTTAGATTTTTCATTCGACTTCTCTCTAGATTCTCTGTAAAATAATCATTTATGTTTTTTATTCCAATTCTCTCTAGATTCTCTGTAAAATAATAATTTATGTTTTAAAAAAAATTATCAAAAAAAATATATTTTAATTTCAAAGTTTTTTTTTTTTCACATTAAACTTTACTTAAAGTTTAAGTAACATGTATGGACCACGCGGTGACTTTAATTTTCCCAAAGTCAAATAGGTTTTTATTCTTTACTATTTTTCCCCTAAAATATAAAAAAAAAAAAAAAAAAAGTAAGATTGCAATCTAAGGTATGCGTAAACTGGTTGCATTTGTTTCCACCTTTTTTATAGAAAAAACTGTACCATCTTAATACGTATTTATTGTAACATTTTACCTATTTGTTTAAATTATTACAATTATGCAGAAATTAAAAAATAAGCTAAAAAAGATTTGTTTTTTATAATTGTAATTAAACACTTCAACCATTATTTACCAAAAAAAAAAACATGGCAAGAATTTAGATTTGAGAGCCAAAAAGTCTGTCTATAGAAATATTTTCAGACAGCTTTGAACTTATAATCCTTGATAGGTTGATCCAAGACAATTTAATTGGTATAAATTATATATTTATGGAAAAAACTTACCTTTCTACATATTAATCCTTCTTTTAGGTTTATATCAGAATTAAAATAAAATCAAGATTTGTTAGCAGAAAAAGACAATTTAGAATACTATGAGCGTAGAAAAGTATAAAAAGAGAGAAACGTGCTCATTTGGTTACACTGAATTGAGAAGAAAAGTTTCAACATTATTTTGGATCCAGAACAAAAAATATTCCACTGAACGACAAAAGTAATAGTTACTTTCTTTTTAATTATCAGAATTTAAAAAAAATATTACCTAATTGATATGTTTAAATTTTAATATACTATTAATTATTTTTTGTTATTTATAACTTTATTCTTTTTTTATTAGATTATAATGTAGAAATAGAAAGGACAAAATATAAAATTAAATATCTTATACGTGAAAGATAAACATAATATCTCCGATAAGTTTATACGTGATAAGTTTATGAAAATAATCTCCGATAGTTTTGTCTTATAAGAATATATACTATAGTTTTTATATACCAAAAAAAGCTTAATGTTACTTTTCTAGAAAAATATGATTTGTTATAAAGCTCGAAGTGATTGAGAAGTAATAAAGAGATTTGAAAAAACAAAATAAAAATACGTGTACTAGATTCTTAATTTTGTTTTTCGGAATAAAAACTTATGCAATGTGTAATGAGGGAATAAATATTTATGCAATAGAAAAAATAATATTGTATGATAGAAATAGTTGAAAAGTATATATTGTGCAATATATAATATATTTTATACTTTTAATTCAAAATCATTAGAAATTTATTTTGTAACATATATGTAATGTATGTATGATATGTATATTATTTATTTTTAAAATCATTATATTAATAGAGAAAAATTTACATTTTCCTTATATATTAAACGACAAAAATTGTAGAACAATTTTCTAAGATAATATATCATTACTTTATGTTTAATGACAAAAATAATTCAACATCGTGAAAAGGTGATTTTGTATCGTTTATATGATATCCATTTTTGAAAAATTAATATAAAATTTAGCATAATAATAATTTCATGAATATTTAAATTAATTTTTATATCAATTATTATTTGAACTAATATAAAAAAATATACTAGGTCAGTGTTAAAAGAAACTAATGTAGTATTTATTTTATATATTGATTTAAAAAAATAATCAATTTAAAAAATCATTAAAATAAAATCTTCCTAAAATTTGTATCCTACGAACTTATTTTTCCCTCCATTATGACATCATCAATCATTCTCCTTCTTTATGTCGCATTTTTTATTATTATTTTTTTTTTACCTTTTTATATACCTTCGTGCCAGAATACATCTAAACTTCATCCATAAGTGGATTATTTCCTTCTCAAAACAAATAAATATTTATGGTGATTGATGAATTTACAAAATTAACACCAAAGCAAATGATATTATTAAAAAGCTAAAAATTAACTTTGAGTTTATCAATAAATTCTATCCCAAAAATAATAATAAAAGTACAAGTTATTGCGCTCTATACTCATTTATGTGGTACAAAAATACATTGCTTGAATTGAACAAACTTGTTATCCCAACGCATATAATTTGAATTAGAAAAATGTTGGGTACATTCCAAATTGTTTATGGAAGAAAATTCCAAAGTTTAGGTGGACAAGGGTAGAAAAAAAGAGTAATGAATCTTATTGGTAATGGGGTAGGAAAAAAAAAAAGAGAAAAATATATGATAAGAAATTGAAGTTTCCACTTGTACTATTTGTTTAGGTTTCATGCTGATTAAAATATACAAAGTAACTTTGAACACTTTCAATTAGATTTCATTATTAAACAATGGATTCTATGCGCCAAGTACACATGCATGAGTATGAGAAACAACATTGAGGATATTAGTAAAATACTTTATTTATTTATTTATTAAAGTAGCTTGTATTGTTGACCTAAGCTTGTTTCCTCTATCTACATGTATAATATTATTATTTTAACGAACTCGCATAGATAAAGATATATATTCATTCGGACATAAAATAATAAAACTTAAGAAACAGATATGATAATTAATTAATTGAATAGGTTGAATTAAAGTGAAACCCAACTAGAAATACCATAATATTGATTGTCGTTTTCAAAGCTCTTTGAATCTATGGCAGGTTTTACTCCATAGAATTTCCAACTTATCTTGTTTGCGTGTAACGTGATTTAAAATGTTGAATGCACTTGGTCACGTGTTTTCTATTTTTTTTTTCTTTCACTTAGTTGTTTTTAGTAATAGAAAACTTATTACCCTACGAACATGAGATAGAAAAGTGGTAATGAAAAAAAAAATAGATAATTTGTTTAATGCATGACTCTAAAATAATTTTTTTCTTCTTCTTTTGCATTGCATTCCACTGCTCCACCTCAAGCGTTTGAAGTTACACTTTCCTATATTAGAAATTTGTTGATCATAATTTATACTTTGAATCATATAGACATTTTTAACCCGTCACATATCAAAAAATTTCGTGCATAACCACAATTTGATTCGTAAACATATTGGAAAATATTTTTTGGAAAAGTTTCGGATTAAGGGTTTTGGAGCAATTAATCTAAAAGTTTTCAAAAAATGAAGTCTCTATACAAACCAAATTATATTTTGTTTTTGATATCCGTACGAAGAAAATAAGAGATTTAACATGGTTTAAAATCCTACCAAAGAGTTTAAGGTTTACCAAAGAAAAAAGAAAAAAAAAGGAACGTACGGAAAGAAGATTAATACAATTATCCAATAGTAATTATGGGGTGCAGCAAAAAGTAAAACGGTGAAGAATGTGTCTGTTTGAGACGTGAGAAAAATTGGGCTTTGATATTGACTCCACTCCAAGATGATTCATGGCCGAAGAACAGGCAAGAAAAAAAGTCAGCTTTTGATTTTTTTTTGGGCTTTGGTGCTACACGCAGAAAAATGGCTAAAGAAATAAGTAATAGGTTATGAGTTGGTTATCTCACCTTTCTTTTTAGGTTTAAAAAGACAATCTTCTATCAGTCGAAAAAATTCACTTCTAATAATAAAGATGAATAGAATTAATCCATTTCAACCGATACACAACGTCTTATTTAAAGACTACACAGTTTCAATGCAACCAAATGGATCAGATGATTGCAACTCAAATAATAACAAAATATTGAGATCATTTTTTACTCATCCTTTGA